TAATCTGGTGGTGCGGTCCTGGAATGACACACTGAGGCACGCAAAATGCTGCTGTGTACAGATTGCTTTTTTGTTGATGCTGTGCTTTGGAGGGATGGTGGACGGGACTTTGATACACAAGAGGGGAAAAAAAAAACAGGGTAAAAAAGGTTCTTAACTTGGTGAAACGGCATATTTTATAATCTCGTAGTGCGGTCCTGGAATGACACATTGAGACACGCAAAATGCTGCTGTGTAAGGCTTGCTTGTTTGATGATGCTGTGCTCTGGAGGGATGGTGGGGGGGACTGTAATACACAAGAGGGGGAAAAAAAAAGGGCTAGAAAAGGTCTTACCTTGGTGAAACGACGTATTTTATAATCTGGTAGTGCGGTCCTGGAATGACATACGGAGGCACACAAAATGCTGCTGTGTACAGATTGCTTTTTTGTTGATGCTGTGCTTTAGAGGGATGGTGGACGGGACTTTGATACACAAGAGGGGAAAAAAAAAAGGGTAAAAAAAGGTCTTACCTTGGTGAAACGGCATATTTTATAATCTGGCGGTGCTGTCCAGGAGTGACACACTAAGGTACAATGAGGCACGCAATATGATGCAGCGTGGTGCTTGGTTCTCTGATGATGCTGTTATCTGGAGAGATGGTGGGGGGAAGTAATACGCACAAGAGGGAATTAAGAATCAGAGGTAGAAAAGGTTTACCTAGGTACATTTCGAGGTCTTTCGGACCGTGGTTCCTAAGGACCCGCAGCATCATTGTTCGCACGTGCCGAAGCCTCTTTGTCAGAAGGCTGGCCCAGTCTCTCCTGGTGGGGGGGGTCTTCTCCATGCGGTGCATTCGACGTATTTGCTCTCCCCGTGGGAGGATGCGTTTATGTACTGAACCATATCATGACGAACAGGGCTCTCCCTTAGCTTTTCCAGTACCCTGTTTCTCCCGGACCCCCTCCTCCCCCCCCCTCTTCCCCCCCCCCCCCCCCCCCCCCCCCCCCCCATCTCGTGGTCTGTTTCATACGGATTCAGGGGCTCTTGATTTCTGTTCATCAGGTTTGGGTAAGAAGTTACTTTGGGCCAAGTTACAAATCGATTCTACACTGGATGCGCACCCAATGGCCCCGATTTTGATGAACCGCGCAGGCGTAATGCGCACACTTTTTTCGCCAGCCTTCACCACGGGGGAATGGGCCATTAAGTGTGTTGAGAATAGCCCTGATCCTGCGAATGTTGCAAAAGTCTGCTGAAGCGGCATATCAACGTAGTCTGCAGACACGAGCCCTGCAGAAAGGCTTGTCGATGAAGAGCAGATTTGTCGACAAGGTGAGGCTCTGCGGGAAGTGGCAGAGGAGCAGTTTTCGTTGATGGCAGAAAAGCGGTTCTGTCGCAGTGGCAGAACATGAATGCTTTTTCTGCATATGGCTTCTACATCAACATGTTCTTTTGTAGAAGCGGTCTCGGTAGAATGGAGAGTGTACAGGACCCTCTGCCGAATTGGCACCAGGGGCCGTTCGCAGAACGATTGTCGTCTGCCGAAGTATCGCGCAGAAGACATTTCAGCAGGCGATCCTTTCGGCAGAATCGACTCTCGGAAATGCATTCCAACAAGACCCCGGGCAGGGTACCGCAAGGACCTGTTCGCGCAGGATTGCGTTCTGCCGCAGTACGGCAGAAATGCAATTCGGCTATCTCTTCTGTTGTTGACCCCGTCGGCAGAGACGAAATTCGGCAGAAGCGCGGCAGAGAGTCATCTCGGACTTCGCTTCTGCGAGCGACCCCTTCGACAGAAAATCGGGGACTTAGTTTTCCTGCTGAAGGCCCGTTACGAAATCGCGATAAATTTGCGACTTCGTCAGTTAACCACTGAACCGATCTGGACCGAAATCAGCAACATCTACCTGCGACATTGAGAAATTGAACACGTGACGCGCATTTCGTAACTGCGGAAATGTGCGTAACATCTGACTGTTTCATATCTGAAACTGTTAAAACAACTACTTTTGAGTGGGTAAAATTACAAACTAAGCACGTGCTGTAATTTTCACATGCCATGGCTGACTTGGCTAAGCGTAGCTTAGAGTAGTTATGTGAACGTTCTCTTGCGAACGTTCTCTCCGTGTTCAATGAGGTTCAATGAGGTAGTACTAGTGTTTGACTTGTGTACCATACTTTGTAATCTTGGTTCTAGTAAATTTATGTGCCCAAACTTTCTCAAACTACTCAGTGAAACACACAATTGTGAAGGCAACTCTCTCCTTAGAGAACCACTGAGCTAGACAGCTCTATCTGCGCTAGGCACTTCCATAGAAGCTCCTGTTATGGCAGAAAACTCTGCATGGTGGACACTTGTGCTTTCACCTGCTCCTTTGCATGGACACTCTCCCTGCCGCCGTGTCGGAGGTGCCACAACACTCGGGTGAATGGGCAATTACGTGAATGGGCCGTTGCCCGTAATTGGTGGCAGATGGGCACATGTTGGGGGGTGGGCTCGGTCAATTTTCTGGGACTCCTAGGATGCCTGTTGTACACGAATGACTTTTTAAGGTTTCCTCGCAAGTGTCACCCTACTCTGGGTCAGAGATCCGACTGCACTGAACACGCGTCAGTATGTGCGCTGACGTTTATATATCTGAGCCGTCAATTACTTTGTGTCACATAGCCAGACACTTCCTACGAATCACCCTGTAGGCTTCGTATTGTCATACTCACCTTAAGGTCGAAACAATGTAGAGGTTTGGCAGGGTACCCTTCTCTGCAAACTCTGTTACAGTGGAAATTTTCTCGACCCTGTTCTCACAAGTGCTGTTTTGGTGTGGAGAATGGCAATATATAGGGGAGGAGTGAGAGGGATGAGGGAGAGTTGTCTCTGGCTGTGGGGGACTTAGTATAATTTTCTGGGTGCGTTCGGGTGTGGGTCAAAAGCCTAGGGCTGTGAGGGGACTTAGCCAAATTTCGAGGTTACGCGGGGTGTGGGAGTGATGTCTCTGGCTGTTAGGGACTGCGAAAATTTCCTGGTTGGGGTGGGAGTGGGAGGAATGTCTTTGTCTCTTGAGGAAGATTATTGCGCTCGAGGGGGAATACATAGAATTCAAGGAGGGGAGGGGGGGTAGGGTCTCTGTGGCGGGGTCATCCGGAATACCTCCCAAGGGAATTCTGATTTATTCGGAGAGGCCCACTTGTATAAATTCTGGATTCCAGGGAGACATTGCACGTTTAAATTCCGGAATCCAGCCCAAAGTTATTATTAAAGCGCGGATCCCAAAGCCCCCGTAGTAAAAAACTTAAGGTTTTCATCCCTTGGGCATTTTTGGCTGGGGGCCAAGACCTCTGGTTTTGAGTTCGGGGGGTTTCGGGATCCTCGCTTTAATGGTTTTTTATTCCAGGAAATTACCCTTGAAACCAGAGCCCATTGATAAGTACCGGAGAGCTCAGCCGTTACACCTTTATTCCAGTGAACCGCTCATTCAATAGACGTCACGCGTCCATCTACAGGCCCATCGGTTCGAACACACGGTGAACGGCCCAACCTACAGAGGCCCACTGATCTCCAACAGTTACCAGATCTGATACTGAGACCTCCAAACATGCAGACGGGATGTTCTGAGGCCTCACACTGTTGCCCGAGGAACGCAAAAGAAACAACAATGGTCACCCGATTTAGACTGAAAAATGCCAAATTGGGTAACCAGACTACGCTATATTGGCCCATTTCGCCCGTGAAAGTTTTGCGCTCGATTCTGGAGTACCAGCCCAGAAAAACAATGTGTAGTTGTATGCGTGTGTATGCTGAACCGCGGTGACGGAGCCCCGTGTCTCCACAGTAGCGGCACTGCGAGCTCGGGCTCCGCAGTTCCGCAACGGAGCCATAGATACACATGGTGCCCGCCGGAGGCCTAGCTCAATACGTGGCCCAATCAGGAACCATCGCCCATTAGCGTTGTCACACGGGCAACGGCCCACTCAACGTGGGCCGTGAACAGAGCCAGCAGTGCAGCGTCATCATGACAGCGGTGACAAACATGCGGCACAAGACGAAAGATGTGCGCCGCAACCGTTTTCGCCACAAACTTCCAGCCGCGCTCGGAATAGCGCTCCGGCGAAGGTCAGCGAGCCTTTCGTTGAGCTCGAAAAATTACACACGCCTCGCTGGGTTTGTTTGTGGTTTGAGCGTCGCCGCATGAAACCAAACGCTGACTTGGCAGCGAAATGGGGTCACGATGTCCCGATTCCAGGGGTCGTTCTCAACATCCGACAGCCAACCCAGGAACAGACTCGAAAACAAATTCCCACAATCCACGCAGTAGTTATTGTTGCGACACGAACCTTCAGTTCGTAATGTAAGAAATATTTAGAACACACCCGTAATATTTGGAGCTGAAATGCGACTCCAACACCTCACCCCATCACTCTGAGTATAAAAGGGAGCAAACCAAACCAGAAAAAATCACTCAACATCTCACCCGCCAACCACCACTCTGGTGCTACACAAGAGAAACTCACTCTCGCTTGAAAGCGCCGAAGCTTAACATAGGGTAACTAAGTGAACAATGGCTCGCCAAAATATGCCACTCAAACCTACCCCGCTAAACATCAAAATGGTAACTTTCGTGCCCGTGCGAAAGGCCCACATGCCTGTGACGATGCCGTGCGAAACCCGTGCGCGTTTTTGTCTACCGGCACCCTGAAAAGTTGTGTTCCTCTGTCAGGCTCAAGGTGTAACTGGCAGTTATGACCTTGCATAGCTGGCAGTTCCGTTACCGCGGTTCAGCATGGTCGGGAACAGTCCTCGCAGTTCACCGTTTTGGAACACCGCGCACCAGGCTGAACCAGACGAGATTCTAACCAAATCACGAGAACAGTCGATTCGTGGGAGGAGCGGCGGTGCTTCCCTCAGACCTCCGACGTGCGGGAGAGCCTCCCTTCCCTTCCTCCTCCGCTGAGCCTTCAGAGACTGCCTTGCTGTTCAGGCATCGCTTGTCTGCGGCTACCATTCTGTCGCAGCTAAGGCCTTTTTCGGAGTCTGCTAGTACACCAAGTATTCGTTTAAATCGCCAGTTTCGTTTCGGGCGGCAGCGATTGTTTTATCTGCGTAGTGACGGGTGATCGGCGTAACCAAATGTGCGACTAATACTTGGTGTCTTCTCCCAGCTCATCTACTAGTAATACAGTATCCCGAAGCGGCTCCACCACTCCCCCTACTAGCAGAATTCGGATTCCTACTAGGCGTCTACTACCGTAGCAGCACATAGTGTCGGTGTTGCTCGAGTACAAATCCCGCCGATGTCGCGAGCATGGCTCGCGCTCTCCGCGGTGCTTTGGCTTGCCGCCTTCGTCTCCTCGTGCCACGCACAACTGTTCCACGAATCTCAAGGTACCTCGTTCAGCTCGTATCGCAGTTTCACAGGAGGCACTGGCGTGCTGTGCTCAGTAGTAGTAGTAGCGATACTAGTACTGCCAGTAGGGGCCCAAAACCAAAATCGATCCCAAACCTCGACGCTCTCGAAACGACAACTACCTTTTTAGTAATGACGGGGCGAAGTGTCCCTCGACCTGCGTGCTATTTGCTTGGCCCTCATGATTGACTTCATTCGCTGCCAACCACCTGCTGGATTTGCGCAATAGTTGGTCCGGACACATCATCACATAAACATGCCTCGGTTATTCATGGTAGGTGCAGGTTTCCTTACATCAAGAGGACCACTACCTCTCAGTACATCGTCCCTCTCCTGTCGTGTCTCCAACTGTCAGCCGTGTTTCTCAGCGACTGCCAGAAGGCATGGGGGACCTCGGCGATCTCAGGGTGGTCCCAGGGCGCCAACTGTAGCGCTGCTGAAGGTCTCTTCTGTGACCAGTCGGGCATGATTCTCGAGATGTGAGTGCATGCTTTTCAATCTTGAATTGAACGGACACGACATATTCTGGCGCCAAGAAGGCCCCTTGCCTCATTGCCGCAATGCTCCAAGGCGGCCTTGCTCCAATGCTTTGCTTCCTTGCCTTGCTTCGCTCCCTGTGAGTCGCGGCCCTCTCGTTATCGCTTCACGATTGACTGAAAGCTCGCGTCATGCACAACTCTGTCCGCTAGTAAAACTTTCACGCTCCTTCGAACCCAACCCACAGAGTTGAATGGCTTCGTTGGAATGCTGTCTCTATTTCCTAACAGCATCCTCCCTCACTACACTCAGGGTGTGCAGCGACCGCTAGTGAACACTCTTGGTCACATTTGATGCCTCGCACCTGTTTTGGAGATGGTGGCCACGATGCCAAGCACACTCCACCGTTAGGTGACCTGATGTGTTGCCCCACCTCCATTGATGAATAACCATGCAGGTCAATGGAGGAATCAGGATTGGCAGGACCCATTCCAGACTCAATCAGCCGCCTCACCAGGATCTCCTTTCTGTACGTCCCCCCTGTGCCGTCCTCTATTCTGTCGCACAGCTTCCCTACATTTATACGAAACCCACCTAGAATGGATGAGAGATAAACCATCCCTTAGATAGGGGTGGAAAGCAGAGGGGCACGCATCTCTTCCTGCTGAAAGCAGGTGGCTGTCTCTCCTTTCTTTAGACTCGACTAGACATGGTCAAAATGCGATGCGATGCGATATCGCATCGCATTTTGACTTATCGCACATTGTATCGCGGCGATGCAATATCGCATCACCGCGATATATAAAAAAAAACCCAAAATCGCATATCGTGCTGTAGAGTGCGATATATCGTGCGATGCGATAAAATATCGCATCGCCAGGGCTAAATTTCAGGGTTAAATAAAATACAGCAGCAATTTGGATAGTTAGATAACTAGGAACTGCCGAAGGGTTTCAAACAGGGGCACAACACACCATTACAACGTCGCTTCTAATAAATAAACAGCAAAAAAAAATTGGCGAGCTCCAAATATCACGGGCGAATTTTTATATCGCAAATCGCATTTTATCGCACCCAAAAAAGTGCGATATAAACGCAATATCGCAAAAATCGTGCGATATAATCGCATCGCATCGCCGCGATATTTGAAAAATAAAAATAAAAATCGCAATCGCAAAATGCGATATAATGCGATGCGATGCGATATGACCATGTCTAGACTCGACTCAAGAGAAGCAGAATGGTTCCTTATCGAAGCACAATTCCTCAATCCAGTGCTTTCTTCTGCCTTCTACCTTGAATTTCTTTTACTTCTTCATACGTTAGACCCCTCCCTCCTTGCCCCCTCCCCTTCTTACCCCCCTTTCCCCCACCTTCCCTACGTCGTGCCTCGCCTCCTGCTCTCATCCACCATCGTGCATTGCTTCATATCCTGCTTTGTGCCACCTTTCTCCACTGCTCCTGTTTCCTTCGCCATCCAACTGCTGTTCTATTGCCTGTCCGCGCCCTGCCATCTTCGTTCCTGTTTTGCAAATCTTCGTCTCTTTCCTTCTTTTTTTCCCTACTGCCATCACAGTAATCTTTATAATAACCACCTCAATGGCTCAATCCCTGCTGGTATCGGCTCGCTTATCCAGCTGGGATACCTGTAAATCCTCTGCTTTGCCACCTTCCTATTTGGCACTCTCCTGTCTTCCACTGATTCCTCGTTCTTTCACTCCCCTTCCCTCCAGTCCAGTCTACTCACCACGACCAGTGCACTTCTTGCTAAAAGGGTTGGGTTTCATTGCACTATGGATTCGTCAGTTCAGTTTCGAGGGATCCTAGACTCCGGATGTGGGGCAAGGTGGATTGTCAGCAGCCGTTCTTGTAGAGAGCTTAATGGCTGCGTGACTCTGGTTAATCCCGTTTTGCTCAATATGATGGCAGCGGTTGCGACATTGTTATTTAGTGCAAGATTACACAAGCGCTAAGACGCACGAAGCTTCCACAACTTCCGACTTCGCAGAAGGCATGATGGCCTTCGCAATCCATCCCTGCTCGTTTCCATGCTTGCTCGAATCCACTGTTTGTAACTATCACATTCGCCATTCGTGTTCATTTACAGACGTCTTGGTAAGAATCGGCTCACAGGCTCAATCCCTGCTGGGATCAGCAGTTTTACAAGCCTGGCTTCCGTGTAAGGCCTTTCCTGTCCTCTCCCTTAGATCATCTTCCTCCTTCACCTCGCCACCACCCTCTCCTTTGCCGTACACTTCATAATTCATGCTAAATGATTGTCAATGGACTGGATCCGTCAAATCGGAGCATTTTTTTACAAATCTGTGACGAAGTGCTTAGTAATGCTGTTGTGTCCAGTAACTAAGGGCTGCTGCATTACTATCTGCCGCAGGTAGACATGGGCAACGAGGCGAGGAATTCCTCGCCTAAAAATTCCGCGATTCGAGGAATGATTTTCCAAAAATAATCCTCGGCGAGGAATCCTCGCCTCGCCTCGCCGAGGATTCGCGGACTCGGAAATTCTCGGGCAAAATTGGCGAGGCTGGTATGTATTTCCTCGCGAGGAATTTTGCCCTTGCGAGGAAAGAATCCTCGCGCCACTTTTTCTACACGGATGCTGGTTAGTTTGAACAGTGGCGCGAGAGCTAAGTGGGGGAATTGCGACTTACAGATTGGAGCTCCCCCTCAGCTCTATGAATCCCTGGTGAGTGCTAGTCGCAGAGCAGAACGGTCGGGTTAGGGAGGTGATGTGAGTTAAAATACGGTGAGGGGGGGTCTTTTGGGTTTGGAGTCCAAACCTGACAATGTCGATCTGGTTAGGTTTAGGGAGGTGATGTGAGATTGAATGCGGTAGCAGTGGTTTTTTTGGGTTTGGTTTGATTTCCAAATGTGATTGATAGCGATGTCATATTGGTTAGGTTGGGGCTTGGGAGCTACTGTGGGATTGAATGCGGTGGGGTGGGGGGAATTTGGAGGTTAGAGCTTCATACTCAATGTCGAGCTGGCGATGTGAAGAAAAATGGGATGCTCGCAATTTGTCGTGACGCTCAAAACACAACAAATGGGTAGCTCGTTCCGTGCACATATGCCCCAAACTCATAGAAACACCCCCCTCGAGGCGAGGAGATTTTCCTCGGGGCGAGGAAACAATTCCTCGCCTCCAAAATCCGAGGATTGAGGATCAGTTTTCCCCAAAAATCCTCGGCGAGGAATCCTCGCCTCGCCTCGTTTTGGGGGCGGTGGTTGGAATTCCTCGGCGAGGATTCCTCGCCTCGCCTCGTGCTCATGTCTAGCCACAGGGTCAAGCTGCGTGGCAGATTCCACCTGTCTGCAGCAGGGCTTACGTTAGGGTTTTAGTCGTCAGAAGCCGGGTAGGAACAAAACCAACACGTCAGTTCCGGGAATTTTTTCATAGCATCAAATTTGCCAGTTCAAGGGCTCTGTATGAGCGAAACACACCACTTCACCAATGTAAACTGCTTGCTAGGCTCTGTGCCCTCTGTCTTCTCACTCTTGTGAATCGCCATCCAATGTTTGGATATATATTTTTTTTGGAGGGGAAAGGGAGGGGGGAGGGTGGGGGTGGGGAATGGGGGTGGGGAATAGGGGGGTTTTGTAGCTCTATGATCCGTTTTTGCCAGGGGCTCACCCGCCAAATCAGGTGCTTCGCAAAATGAACACGTCACTTCACGGGTGCGGCTAAACCTCAACCCGTCAGAATCCGGCTTCATGGAAAACGAACCCGTCAGAATCCGGAATCGGTCGAAAATACACCCGTTATTCTGCCGAAATTCGGGTAGTTACCCGTGAAAAATAAGCCCTGGTCTGCAGGTCGAGTGTTACGGTGGCCCACTCTCTATCCCCACTACTGCTGGCTGGCTTATTGGAACCACTGGATAGAGTGACATGCATTTTGCCAATCCTTCTCTTCGTTTAATGCGTGTCCTTTTGCCTTCAATTATCCTGCCCACTCTCTTCTCACGTATACTACACACTTCTTTCCTCCGAACATTCCAAGAACAATGTCCATTGTGTGGAAATTGTACCTCATTAGCATTCAATGGAATTTCTCTTACCAATGTATTTGGTCCAGCCTACCGTTTCATGCTTTCTGAGCTTAAAGTCAGCCTTTGTCCATCGTTGGTGTCTGTTACTCAGAGGCTTTGAAGACAATCAACTCTCAGGCTTAATTCCTGGTGAAATCGGCAATCTTTTAAGCCTGGAAGCCCTGTAAGGCTCTGTTCTGTTGTACCCTCCTATCTGCCTCATATTTTTCTCCGTTTTGTAATTCGTGCATTAAGGCGAAAAGCACTGGACTAGAACCAATGCAATATGAAATCATCACACAGAGGACTTCTGGAAAGCGGAGTTGAGGCGAGACGGATTGTTTGCAGGCATTGTTGTCAGACAGATGTAGTGGCTGCAAGAGTCTGGCCCGTCCCTTTCAAGGGCCGGCCCCTGGCCGGCCCGACTTGGGCCGACCTTGACAGATTCCCAGATCAAGCCTGACCTTATGGGACACCCCGGCTCAGGCCCAAATAGGGCCACCCCGGCCCAATGCCAGTCTTTGGCAATAGGGCCTATCCTTGGGTCTCGACACGCCAAGTTGCCATAACACCATATGCATGCAGTCTTCTAAACCCTATTCATGGGCAAGGGACGGGCTGGACGTGTTTGCGGACACTTGGGGGCCCAATTGGTCCCAGCCAGTGTCGAGGCCCATCCGCTCCATCAATGGCGGGCCGACACAGGCGCCACCCAGTCCGACCACGTCCGGTGGGCTTCGGGTCGGTGTGGAGGATGGCTCGGCCTGAGCCCTTCCATGGTTGCGAACGGGCTGGGCCGGGCCGTGCCCCAGTGCATGACCATGTCTACTAAACCCCCAGTTGGAGCTTTCTCTAACAAGTGGAAAGCCCCCCACCAAAATCCTATTTGACACATCACAACCATCCACCACAACATAAGAGTCTCAATGTAACAATAAGGGCTGGACATACAATAAACCCCAGAATCTGGGCCTATTGTTTTCCCTGCGGTGCATGGGTGAATAGAAGAACCATTACGGGAAGCACATGGGCTGCCACCACACCACATCATCTCAAAATACTAGATAGCGACGGTCAAAATGGGCAAACAATATACACCGTTTTTCGTTTACGTAGACGAATAAGGGCTGTTGGGTCTAGAGTTTAAGGCAACACAAACACTCGCTACCAGCATGCCGCCACTTGTCAAATTTCTTTGTGCCCACACCACACCCCCAAGTTGCTCACTCCACATCAAGGTTAAAAAATACGGTTTCTGTAAAATACGGGTTGAATTTTACGACTCTTTTTTTCGGGATTTTTGCCAAAAAAAGACGTATTTTTGATAGACATTTTTCTCTGAGAAGAAAAAACTCAAGAAAACGGCCTAGACGGTTACATACAGCGCCTCCTCCTCCTCCTCCTCCTCCTCCTCCTCCTCCTCCTCCTCCTCCTCCTCCTCCTCCTCCTCCTCCTCCTCCTCCTCCTCCTCCTCCTCCTCCTCCTCCTCTCCTCCTCCTCCTCCTCCTCCTCCTCCTCCTCCCCCCCCCCCTCCTCCTCCTCCTCCTCCCCCCCCCCCCCCCCTCCTCCTCCTCCTCCTCCTCCTCCTCCTCCTCCCCCCCCTCCTCCTCCTCCTCCTCCTCCTCCTCCTCCTCCTCCCCCCCCCCACCCCTCCTCCTCCTCCTCCTCCTCCTCCCCCCCCTCCTCCTCCTCCTCCTCCTCCTCCTCCTCCTCCTCCTCCTCCTCCTCCTCCTCCTCCTCCTCCTCCTCCTCCTCCTCCTCCTCCTCCTCCTCCTCCTCGTCCTCCTCCTCCTCCTCCTCCTCCTCCTCCTCCTCCTCCTCCTCCTCCTCCTCCTCCTCCTCCTCCTCCTCCTCCTCCTCCTCCTCCTCCTCCTCCTCCTCCTCCCCCTCCTCCTCCTCCTCCTCGTCCTCTTCCTCCTCCTCGTCCTCCTCGTCGTCCTCCTCGTCCTCCTCCTCCTCGTCCTCCTCCTCCTCCTCCTCCTCCTCCTCCTCCTCCTCCTCCTCCTCCTCCTCCTCCTCCTCCTCCTCCTCCTCCTCCTCCTCCTCCTCCTCCTCCTCCTCCTCCTCCTCCTCCTCCTCCCCTCCTCTCCCACTCCCCCTGAAATCCCAAGGGTCAGCCCCATTGGCCTTCTTGGTGCCTTCCTTTGCCCCGCTGCTCTTACCATCCTCGTCCTCCTCCTCGTATATGGCATGCTTAGTCTTGCCGTTCCTTGCCCCGCCAAAGGTTTTCCCCCGCTTAGAGGGCTTTGCTCCCTCCGTCTTCTTCCTCCTCTTTTTCCCACTGGATCCAAATGTTGCCCAATCAATGGCATAAGCCCCTGCACCCTCCCCACCCTCCTCCTCGCCCGCGGCCACCTCCTCGGGTTCCGCCTCCGAGGCGATTGGTTCAGCAGCCCCCTCCTTGAGCCTACCCTCTTGCAGATCGGCGTAGAGCTTCGCGCGCACGGCTGCCTTCTTGTCGAAGGCCGCCATGGCTCGCCGAGAGAATGCCACGCATGTGACGTCTATGAGGGTCTGAGCCTTGAGCCGGTTCCGATCGGGCCGCTGGACCCTGCCCATGGCCGACCACCAACGCTCCACCTCGGAGGCGGTGATCGGCTGTGAAAGGACCTTCATGGCCAGATCTTGCAGTAGCTTCACCTTCCCCCCTTACATGGCCCACCACTCTGCCTCCAAGAGGCGGCCACTCTCCACAAGGTGAGCCGCTGCCCACCGTGGATCACGACCACCCACTTTCCCATTCCCACTGTGAAAGTGGGCGAGCTGAGCCTCGAGGAGGGCTCGCCACTGCACATCGCTCTCCCGAGCTTCCAGCATGGCCGTCACTCCTTTCAGTATCTCCACGTCATGCCATACCTCCTCCGAAAACTGGTTCTTTGGGTTTAGCAGCCACCCAAGAGCGTGGAGGGGGTTGTGGAGCTGTGCGTCCCACCTTCACACAATGATCTTCTTGATGGAGGTGAGGAAGGCAGCTTTCTCCTTTGAGGGAAGAAGCTTGGTCTTCTTGATGAAGAATGTGGCTGCAGCAGGTGAGGGGGAGGGTGTGTGTGGCGGGGTGACTGGCTTGTTTAAGCACTTTCGAGTGCTTGTCATATGTTAAGGGGCAGCAGTAAAGAGACTGAAACGAGGCAAGAAGAACGACCATAATGGGCAGCAATGGAGGCAAGTGAGGGCCCTTACCTGCCGCCTCGGCCGCCACGTTTGTCTTGACGGTGGCGTTGAGCATTTGGCCGTAGATTCTGCCCATAAGCAGAGATTTGCGGTCCACTGCTTTCAGCACCTCGTACACGGGGTTCATGAGGTTCTACTCGGTCTGCACGGAATGCCAGAAAGTGTCGGAAAGGAGGAGGACCCGAATCTGCCTCCCCTCGCCCGTCTTGGAGGCAGCCACGCCCTTCCACTCCTCCGAAATCACCATACGCTGCATGCATGTCCGCTGTCACCTTCAAGAACCTAGCCAACATGATTACTTGCATGCCAAATCGTGTGGTCTTCGGGCGGACGAGCTCGAGCTTGCTGAAAACTTCTCGAATGAGAATGACAGCGCTCGCGCTCTTCGTGACGATCATCACGCAGCGGTGTGCTTGGTGCAACACCCGCTTGATGACGCTTTGCGCTCCAATATCATGGAGCATTAAGTCTAGCCAATGGGTAGCTCAATTTGTGAAAAAGATTGCAGGATACCCATCTCCCAACTTCTCAGCCGCCTTCCGGTTGTTCGATGAGTTGTCCATGACAACCTGGACCACACATCCATCACCCAGCTTACAGATTCCCTCCCGGATCAAACCAGCCAAGTACTTTGCTGTTTTGGAGTCCACAACCTCCACCATGATAGGAGGCATGTCATTTTGAGCGATGAGGCACACCAAGCCTCTGCTCTTCAGACACGTCCAGCCATCCACGGACATCGAGCACCCCATTGTCCGCCAAGTTTTCTTCAGTGGCTCGACCAAGTCCTCCACATCGGCCCTCAGCTTTTCAAGTAGAGGGCCGCCAACCTTGTATGCCGAGGGAAGCGTGTAATGCTTCCCGTAGGCGATGGCGGCGTTCACAGAGTCCTGTAATGCCTTGGACCTGTGAGTAAGGGGGTACGGTGGAGTTCGGCTAAGTGGGGGCACAAAAACAGCTAGGGGCCACTGTGGCATTGATCTAAGGTACTCAGAATAGGGCAGAAACGGGTGGGGGAAAGCGGGGGACGAGAAACTTACCGGGAGCACAAAAAAGCCCAATCATTTTCAGCCTCCGCCGTTGCTTAAAGGAGGTCTATACGCTAGAGCCCGCGGGGGTCCGTCAAGTCCCGAATGTTGGTCGAACGAATGTGGCGCGGGCGTTCTGCTTCTGGCGGCGATGTTGAGGCCAGAACCAAGGCAGAGGACGTGGAGCCACGCTCGTTGACCACCCATGAATCTTATGCACGTGTTGCCAAACGGGAGAAATTGCTATGCCCATAGTGCAAACGAACCCTGCAGCTGGTCGAAAGGATGCCGCGCTGTCTAAGGCAGCATGTTCGTCGAAAAAAACGCGGGCATGAAGAATTACTAGCGAGATTCGCGGAGCTTAGCGCGTAATTCTGATGTAATTCGATCTTCCTACACGAATTCCTACCTGTCTGTTGTTGATGCTCTGTATTTGTATCTCTAACAGTCGAAGGTTGGGTTGAGGAACGTTTGGAAAAGACTTTGGGAAGGGTACCCATTTCCCGTGTCGGGGGATGGTTTACGAAACGCGCCACTGACACGTGTGTCGCACAATGCGCGAACTCATCCTACTGGGCGCGAAGAAATTGAACGGGCTGTGGCGAAACAGTCGTTCATTTCGCAACGGCACAGCTAAATGAACAACAAGCGCAGTCGGGAATGGGTTGCGCGCGTGCTGTGGGAAAACATTGACTCTTGACACTTCTCGTTGTTTGTGTACACCCAACTGACAAAATTGGTTTCGAAATTCTTTATTGGACAATTTTGCTTGTGGTTAAAAAATACGACCGAATAATCCGACCGTATTTTTGAACCAAGGCACTTAACACCATGTCGACCGGATTTTTCGGTATTATACGACGTATCGGTATAAACCGTATCATACGGGAGAATCCCCAAAAAAACGACCGTTTTTTAACCTTGCTCCACATGCAGAGCTATGTTGGCATAAACGCGTTTCTGCGTTTTTGCATTTCGTTCTGAACGCTTGCGTTCAGGACGCAAAACACAAGATTCTAGGCTTCAAATACGCTTGGAAAACGCATGCCTGGGCAGGCCAAAATTTTTGGCTGGGTAGGGGGAAGAGGGGGAGAGGGGGGGAGGTAGGGAATGGCGGAGGGGGGGACTATCGGCTCGGCTTTAGCGCGAACCAAGGCTATGGTGCTCTGAAAGTGTTTAGGCTATGAAGTGAAACCGAGAATGACGTCCCGGGACGTCAGCGACGGCTTAGTGTGGTTACCCTATGTAACAATTACTGTAGTCGCTCTGTCAGTGTTCAGCGGAAAATACGAGCCATCCGAGCTGACGTCCCAGCTCATTTTGTTCTGCCCAAAGCAATGCCCGTGGGCACGGGTCGAAAAAACAAAACCAAACATGCAGCGAAAGCACGAACCAGCTCACGAGAGATGGATTTTCACAAGTGGAGTGCCAGCTCATCGAAATGCCAACTCCCGAGGTGTGGTCCAAAAGCGAATGCGGTGTGCAATCCCTCGCTTGTTTCGCTCGTTACAACGTTTTTCAAGGCAAACCTTTTTGGTCACATCGTGTTTCGGTTCTAGCATCCTAAAAAAAATTTCCAGCATGTTTCGCATTTCGTCATTGTTCAATGTGCTTGTGTAGCCCTCCGAATAAGCAAAATTGACGTCGCGCGGACTTCGACGAGTGACGTCAAAATAGCTTATCGGGCATTGCCCGTTTGTTAGAAATAGACTGCAAATACAACTTTTGTATTTGTACTTTTATATCCTAGTTTAGGTTATAAATGTTCTAGTGGGTTGGGGTGTACTCACAAATCCCAACCTCACCCAATTGTGATCCCCCCAATCTCCAATTACCCAATTGGAGGTTCCGGAGATCCCAATGGGGATTCTCTCCAATTCCCCCTTCATCCATTTACTCTCACCTTGCCATGTACTTATAGAGCCTTGGGCTTCTTACCTAATCAATCATTTCAACTCTATTTCTTACATGGTATCAGAGCGACCTATCCGCACACGCGGATCAAGGTCCTAATCTTAACGTGCCAGCGCTACGCGCACTTCATCATCGCGACATTCGTCTCGAGTCGTCGGAATTTCGACGTGCTCCACTCTACAGTCGCACCTCTCATCGTCGACCGCCTTCGCGCTCGACCTCGTTGAATTTCTCATCTTTGAAGCTTTCTCGCTTCTCATCGTCGATTTCCTCCTCGGTTCTCCTTGGTCGAATCTCAATTTCGACCATCTCTTAAAACTCGTTCTCGAGTTTCCCCTCAGACCCCGCCAGAATAGGCGAACTCCCATCGCAAAATCGCCTCCACGAACGTCTCGCGTCAAGCAAGAGCAAGTACACAGGTTAAAGCGGAGCGGAGCTGGTTGCGGAGCTAGTTGCGGAGCTGGTTGCGGAGCTGGTTGCGGAGCTGGTTGCGGAGCTGGTTGCGGAGCTAGTTGCGGAGCTGTGTAGCTGCGGGACAGGGCCTGGGGGTGTGTGGGGGGGTGTGTGGGTCCGGGGTTAGACATAGTCTTAGATTCAGTTTCAAGTCGGCGTTTTAACGAATTTTCGCCACGCCATTTCCTACTTAGCGGCATTTTGATGAAGCCGTCAGAGTGATTTTCAGCAATTCTCGTCGACCAATTTCCAAAAGTGCCGCGCTGCACACCGACAATGGCTTACTCAACCACTTCACTCGCCAACCCGATCCCGCTCCTTCGTCTCGAGCCGGACGGTACATGCTCCAACTACAAGGCTTGGCGCTATGGTGTCGACAAGCACCTCCTCAGTCGCGAGGTGAAGGGGCTCAAGCTCACCGACGTCCCTCTCAACATCGGTGACGGCAAAGAACCTCCTAAACCCGAGAGGTCTGCCGATCCAGCTAATGCCGCCGCCGAAGCAGTTTATGCTGCTGCACTGCTCAAGTACAAGAATTGGGAGAAGGCCGATGGTGCGGTCATTAGTGTCTTCATGGGCACCACTCCTCCCGAACTCGTTGAAACCTACCACAACTACCCGTCTGCCAACGCCATTTGGCTCTACCTCGAAGACCGCTTCCTGAACAAGACTGCAGTGGGAGTTGCTATACTCATCCCCAGCATGTTCCAAGTGCGGCTCGAGGACTCGCCAGGCATGGCGGACTATGTCACCAAGGTGCAGTCTAGGCTTGAGCATACTACCCGCCCAGGTCGGGTACCCGGGACCCGGATCCGCTTTTAGGGCGGGTCGGGTATCGGGAATCCTGAAAATTACCCGGCGGGTCGGGTTCGGGTTACCCGGGCGGGTATTCAATACCCGCTACCCGAAATGCTATCCGACGTGTCGGGTAACGGGTACCCGACCCGGTCGGGTAAAAAATTACCCGAGGTCGGGTATTGCACCTAGACATGGGCGTAAGTCGCGCTGTGTTTTAGGTTTTGCGGCAAAACGGTTTTGGAGGTGAGGGTTGACGAGTCTCTCATTTGAGAGTCGCGTTTTCAGAAACCCTACCTAGCCTAGCCCAACCTTAGGATGTCCACTAGTAGGTGGCGGGTAGTATTACCCGCTTTTCAGGGTAACCGGGTCGGGTATACCCGGACCCGCCAGGCGGGTATTGTATTACCCGTCCCCTTAAGGCCGGGTCCGGGTAAGGGTCCTGGGCATATTACCCGACCCGGACCCGACCCGAAAATACCCGACCCGAGGTCGGGTATTGCAAAACCGGGTCGGGTCGGGTAATTACCCGGTTTTGCTCAAGCCTAGTGCAGTCCATTCATGGTGAACTCAAACAGTTGGGGATAGTCTTCCCTGAGCAAGCCCCTGCAACCGCTCTCTTAGTCGGCCTCACTCCGGCATATGAAGTCACACGGAAGATGCTCTTGGGCCTTGCTCCTGCAGACCTCACATTTGCCAAGGTCTCATCCGCGCTCCTTTCTGCCGAAAAGGACAACAGCGCTCAATCCAAGGCCAATGCAATCCGCGCTCCCGTGCCTCATGCCTATGCCGATTCGGCACCGTTCCAGCGCAACCGCTTCCCCCCCTTTCCCTACGTCATCAAGCGCGGCCCTCGTGCCGGCCAGATGTGTGGCGGCACCAACCACGCCCTTGCCTCCTGCTTTAAGAAGAAGGATGACGAGTGGTATGCCGTCAATGGGACCGCCTCCAAGCCGCCAAGCTGGATGGTCAATCGTGCTCCTCGCCAAGTCAATCAAGTCGAAGCGCACGAAACCGTGCAGGCTGCTGTGGCTGCACCTGCTGATGTGCGCCTCAACATGTTGTTCCTTGGCACTGCCATGATTAATGAGACGATTTCGCAGTATCCTGGCTCACAAAGCACCTCAGCCACAATAGAGTTCACCCTCGACAGTGGGGCCACTCACACGGTTCTCAAGGAAGAACACTCCTTCAAGCAATACGAGTCACCAATCCGTCTACTTGGAGCAGACTCCAGTTTCACAACACACGCCAAGGGCTCCTCCACAGTTTCGTGCCCAGCTTTTCCTTCGGGCAGTGTGACTGGCATGTGTGTTCCCACACTACGCCACAATCTTGTGGCCCAACACGAGCTCCAACGGGCAGGCGTTACCACGATCTTCCCAGCACATTCGGATCACTGTGACCTCCTCGACCCTAAGTCCAACAAGCTCCTAGCACGCTTCACACTCAACAGCAGCAAGCTCTACACGCTGCGTTCACCTGCACCTCTCGCCGCCCTCTCCCAAGCGCAAGCTGCCAACACCACTCCGTGTTCGTGTCGCAGCTTCGCCAACCCAACCATCCTCTACCACCATCGCTTGGGTCACCCCAAATTCCATACACTTGCCGACATCGCTTCCAAGAAACTTCTTCTTGGCCTCCCGTCGGCGCTTCCTCCACCAACAGACTCGCCTGCACCCACCTGCCTGGACTGCACCAAGAGCAAGCTCAGGCAGCAGCCGCACCCTTCCTGCCCATCCGTCGCAGCTGCTCCGCTGGACCTAGTGCACATGGATGTCTGGGGCCCAGCTCCAGTCGCATCCCGAGGCGGTCATCGGTACTTTCTTACACTAGTCGATGACCACTCGCGGTACGTTTCTGTGCACCTCCTGCATACCAATGTGGAGGCACCTGATGTCATTATGGCGTGGGTGCGCCAGGCTCAAGTCACGTTCGGCACTCCTCTGAAGTGCCTCCATTCTGATGGCGGGGGAGAATTTCGCAATGGCAAACTCGATAACTTCTGTGCGGCCCAAGGGATTCGGCAAACCTTCACGCTCCCCGAAAGCCCGCAGCAGAACGGCATTGCAGAGAGCCGCAACCACACCTTGGTTAAGATCGCTCGCTGCCTCCTCAGTCACGCCAACGCAGCACGGACACTCTGGGGATATGCCCTCTTCCATGCGGCACTCCTCTACAATCTTTATCCGCATCCCCACCGGCCCGACACCACACCTACCGCTCTCTGGCTTGGGGTCACGCTTTCCGCCCGCTCTCTACGCGTCTGGGGGTGTACCGCGTATGTGTTGCTCAGCCCCCACACGCGCAGGAAGCAAGGTGGCAAGCTTGGTCCCAAAACCCAGACCTGCATGTACCTGGGGCACAACTCCAATTCCCCAGACTACTTATTCCTCAACCCCATCACCAGACAGCTGATTCGCAGCCGTGATGTCGTCTTCGATGAGACACGCCCATTCCACTCAGCGACCACGGGCGAGCCTCCTCCACCTCCCCCGACGCTTGTATGGGCAGACTTCGATGCCCCACCTCCGGCCGCTGCCCCTTCTCCGGGGCCTTCTCCGTCCGGCGTGTCTCACCCGGCCTCCCCAGTATCCTCCGCAGCAGCACCTCCTCCTGCTCCGCCTTCCCCGCGCGTCGAGCTCGGCTCACCAGTCTCCTACCAGAGGCGCCCAGTCCCTCCGATCCCACCGCAGCCGCCTTCGTCTCCGGTCTCTAGTCGCACTCGTTCCAAGGGACCGGCTCCGCCTCTCGCCTGGGGACCAGCCGCCTTCTCCATCCGCTGTTCGGTCACCTTGCCTCCTCCTGCCGGGGGTGATGTCCCCTCCATCCGTATTCCCCCCCGTGCACTTCTGGAGGACAGGCATGAGGAGCTGTTTGACCTTCACGCGGTCTGCCAATTTCTCTCACATCTTCCCGGACATTACTGATTGCCCTTCCTTCAACTTCACCGAGAACCCGACCATTCCGACTCCTCGCAAAAAAGAGGAAGCTCTCTCGGGGCCTTACAAGAAGGAGTGGAAGGCAGCAATGGATGTGGAGAACGAGGCGTTCATTCGCAACAACAGCTTTGACGATGTTGTTCCCCCTTCCGGTGTCAACATCGTTGGCGGAAAATGGATGTTCCGAGTCAAAAAACTCCCAGGCGAAGCTCCACTGTTCAAGGCACGATACGTGGCGAAGGGTTTCACCCAGAAGGAGTATCTCGACTTCTTCGAAACATTCTCGCCCACGGCCAAGCTCCCGACCGTGCGCGCTCTTCTTGATATAGCCGATCGCGGCAACTTCGAGATCAAGTCCATGGAAGCCTCCTCTGCCTTTCTCCAAGGCCAGCTCAAGGAGGATGTTCACATGGAACGCCCACCGGGGTTTCCTGGCACTTACCCTGCCAACACATTGTGGAAGCTGAAGCGCCCAGTGTATGGCCTCAAGCAGGCTCCTCGTGAGTGGCACAACAAGGTGAAAGAAGTCCTCCTTGCACTTGACTTCCATCCCTCTGCCTCAGATTCCAGTCTCTTCGTTCGTCACTCCTCCGAGCCCTTCTACATCCTCGTCTACGTCGACGACTTCATTCTAGCCGCCGGAGATCCAGCCGACATGGCAGCTGTCCAGTCTGCTCTCAGCTCCGCCCTTCTCATGAAGGATCTTGGTGACCTCAAGAACTACCTGGGGATGGAGATCACTCGTGACCGCCAGTCTTGCACGATCACCCTCTCCCAGGAGTCCTACATCGACAACCTCCTCAAGCGGTTCGACATGGACTCCAGTAACTCGTCTCCACTCCACTCCCACTACAGCATCAGCTCACGGCCCCTCCAGTTCCTTCTCCTGACGCCTGCAAGGACCCGTACCCTGAGCTAGTCGGTTCACTCATTTATGCCATGATGTGCACTCGACCAGACTTGGCTTACCCGGTTAGTGTCCTCTCTCGATACGTCTCCCCCGGACGCTACACTGCCTCGCATTGGTCTGCAGCCAAGAGGGTCCTCCGCTATCTACAAGCCACCAAGTCTCACATCCTCACTCTTGGTGGTACCTCTCCAGTCAAGCTCGAGGGATACACAGACTTCTCATGGGCCGATGACCAGACTGACAGACGCTCCTCCCAAGGGTACTGCTTCACCCTTGGTAGCGGAGTCATCAGCTGGCGCTCCACTCGGTCCTCTGCAATCTCCCTGTCGTCCTGCGAGGCCGAGCTCTATGCGGGCACAATGGCTGCTCAAGAGACACGCTGACTCTACTTTCTCCTCGCTGAGTTAGGCTACCCCCAGCAGTCGCCCACCCTGTGGTGTGACAACCAGAGTGCCATTCACCTCACCAAGGATCCTGTGTTCCACTCTCGCACCAAGCACATCGAACTTCGTCATTTCTTCATCCGAGATCTTGTTCAGAGTGACCAGCTGACGGTACGGTGCATCGCCTCAGATTGCAACCTCGCCGACCTCTTTACCAAGGCTCTCGGCAAGGCTGACCACCATCGCCTTCTCCGTTCCATGGGGCTATGTGCTCCTTGAACGGGTTTGCAGTCTATGGGGGTGTGTTAGAAATAGACTGCAAATACCACTTTTGTATTTGTATTTTTATATCCTAGTTTAGGTTATGAATGTTCTAATGGGTTGGGGTGTACTCACAAATCCCACCTCACCCAATTGTGATCCCCCCAATCTCCAATTACCCAATTGGAGATTCCGGAGATCCCAATGGGGATTCCCTCCAATTCCCCCTTCATCCATTCACTCTCACCTTGCCATATACTTATAGAGCCTTGGGCTCCTTACCTAATCAATCATTTCAATTCTATTTCTTACACCGTTTACTTCATACACCCCCTTTGCGTATGAAATGCCAAGCGGAAATTGCGTGAGCTGGCGCGCGCTGTTTTAGGTCTTGTTGCAAAACGGGAAGGGAGGTGATGGGGGGAGAGTGGAGCATGTGTGAGGAAAGGTTGGATGTTGTAGACGGGGGGGATTTAATAGCGGTGAAAGGGAGGGAGTTGGTTGGGGTTCGCGACATGAGGAATGTCTGGTTGCAGTCGCCATGTAGCAATTTCGTGATTTTCCTGCTATTTTTTCGCCAGGCTGAAGCCGGGGGGGGGTCAAAATTTGACCATGCAGACAACGGGACTCTCAGATTCGCATTTCTAGAAACTCTAGCCCAGTCGCAAAGTTTTCGATTCTCAGTTCCCGGCAGCACGAAAAAGATTCGAGGTGCGTTCGAGCGTTTTGACTCGTTTTGCGTTTAAACGATTGCGTTTAAACGAGGGACGCAACAACGGCGGTCGGTCAGAATAAAAATGCACTGCCCCTATTGCTGGCAGATAGCTGCTCACAGCCACTCAGCCTAGACATGGGCAAGGAATGGGCTCGGACAAGCGAGCTGCCCCGGCCTGTCCATTAAAGAGACGGGCTCGGGAAGGCCGTCTGCCAACCCGGCCCGAGGCCCGTCTGTTCTGAAATGGGCAGGCCAGGATGCTGTGATGCGGCTAGTGGCCCTTCAACCCGTGGCGTTTCGCATGATCCGTGGTGGAGTTTTGCCTTCTGATCAATGCAGATATGGGCAAAAGACGACCTGGGGGTTGGAAAAATATACCCGTGGAACCTGTCCCCAGCCGATCCTCGTCATTGGAGACAGAGTGGACACGCCGCCGGCTGGCACATGCCTGTTGACACGGGCTGTGCGGGGTTAAACGAGCCCGCCCGCGATGGGACAGGCTGCCTGGACCGTGGCCCGTCCCTCTGCCCATAATACCTCAGCCGCTCTCGAAATGCACAAGGTTAATGCACAAGGTTAGCCTGATCTTTGAGAAGGCTAACAGTTTGGTGAGAGTAGTATTGAGGCTGTTGGGTGGCTTGTAGACATGAGCAAAACCGGGTAATTACCCGACCCGACCCGGTTTTGCACTACCCGCAATCGGGTCCGGGTCGGGTCGGGTCGGGTAATTTCCGGGTAATGTTTGGAGGTCTGTTACCCGACCCGACATTTTAATACCGGGTAATTGGGTACCCGTCTGTCGGGTCGGGTATACCCGACCCGCATTTAATTGAAGTCGGGTAATATTACCCGGGTACCCCTAGGTGGCTGTAAAATTCAGCAAACCCAGAGTAACAAACCCAAAGTCGGGTCGGGTACCCGCGACCCGACGGGTAATAAATTAATGGGCTGTTGCAGGAATACATGTGAGCTTCTTTTGTTCTGGAGGTGTTGACAATGTTCTTGGATTTGCTGTGCGCAAACAGGTTTCATGATTTCTCAAAAACCTTTTTGATCTCCCATATACTATTCGCCTTCCTTGTGTGCACCCATCCACGTGCCCCTCCCCGCCTTTCCCCTGTCCACCCCAGCATTCTCCCAACGACCACCCTCGTCCACTTCTTCCTCGTTCCCTCCAACCCCACTTGGCCCCACCTTTCTCCCCTTCCTGCCATGGGCTGGAGTTGCTTGCACTTTCTCCTCTGTGCGCCAAGCAATGCTTTCCACCATACCTGTCTCTCCAACCCCTTGGGTCGCTTGTGTGTGGATACTTGCTCCCCTTCCTGCCATGCCCACTTTTCTCATCTCACTTCTTCCAACCCTCACCACACAGGAATCTTTCAAACAACTCATTGATTGGCTCCGTTCCCAACAGCATCTCCTTGCTGATTGGGCTCACACATCTGTACGAAACTCACTGGTATCACGTGCCAAGGTCGCATCATGACCACAGCATCAATTGGCTAGTGACACCACTTCGTAGTGGCTCTAGGGCCCGTCCCAGTTTGAGAGATCTCTCTGGCCCACACCATACAGGTATGCTCGCTGGGGCAATCTTGTTGTGAAGGGGAGGGAGGGCGTAAGGGTGGTTATTGGGTGAGGTTGCTGCGTGGAATGCGGTAATCTGTGTACTCCAACCAGGAAAACTCCGCGTTGGGATTCCACGCTCGTTGGAATTCGGCCACGGCTAAATTCCCTCTGGACTTTTTTTGGCAGCCCCTAAAATTTTCAGGCTGACCGTAAAGGATAGTCCAAAATAGAGCAAATTTTCATAAACACATTAAAAACCTACGTAAACATTTGAAAACGTACGTCACATCCAACTAGACTTCCCACCATGCTCGTCTCACCACCCCCTTGGGTGGCTTGTGTGAGCGTGTTGTCTCTCTTGCCATGCCTAGTTTTCTCATCTCACTTCCTCTGGCCCACACCATACAGGGATCTCTCAAAGAACTTGTTGACTGGCTCCATTCCCAACAGCATCCTCTTCCTTACTGGACTCTCGTATCTGTACGAAACTCATTGGTATCATGTGCCGTGGCACAACTGGTTGCATCGTACCATGGCATCAACTGGTTTCTGACATCATTTCCTAATCCATGTTCGTTGTGGATCTAGGGCTTGCCCCGTCCCAGTTTGAGAGCATGCTTGGATGTGCTCTTAGCAGCTGAATGGCACCTACACCTTGTGGCAGCCATGAGCTCATCATGTTTTCAAGTTTTACCCTCCTCATCCTTTCTGAAACGCTTCCACCGGCGCATAAAACAGGGTAACACGTCAGAATTTATGCCCACTTTCCACCCTCTATGACCAGATTTGTGGGCCAGAATCAGTTTACCGGGACTATTCCGGCTGGAATTGGAAACCTCGATCAGTTGGAAATGCTGTAAGCTGTGCGAGGATCCAACGTTTCTTAAGTAGAGTTCCCTTTTAGGAATATCATCGAGGTGCTTCAGTAAGGAGATACCTTTTTCATCTTCCACTTCCTATTCGTCTTTCCTGTGTCCACTCCAGCATCCTCCCAGCCACCATCTTATTCCAATTTCTCCCTCCTTCCCTCCGCCATCCCCACTTAGCCCCAGCTTTCTCACCCCCCTGCCATCTGTGCAGAAACTTCCATTTGTTTCCAAGTCTGCCGCAGAATGTTCTCCTGAGTGCGCCAAGCAACTCTCACCACCCCCTTGAGTTGCTTGTGTGTGTGTTTTGTCCCTTTTGCTATGCCTACTTTCTTATCTCACTTCTTCTGACCCACACCACACAGGGATCTTTCGTCAAGCTCTTTGTCCGGATCCATTCCCGACAAAATCACGTCCCTCACTTGGGTCTCCTTTTTGTACGAGGCTCGCTCAAATCATGGATACCTATAACATTCAACATGCTTGTGACGATGTTTCCCAATACTCAATCGCTCGTTATCCGTTAAAACCATGGTCTACGTGCAAAGGTCGGATGATGGTGAGATCCTTGCATTCTGTTCTGTTGCAAGAAGCTCACCTTGCACGACTCTAGCAGTCTAGCAGCGTGCACTTGGAAGCTGACAGACAGCTGGTGACTCAAGCTTTGGGCATGGCTGCTTCGGCCTGGCTGAACGTGCATGAGTGGCTGCGCGTATGCAGCTAAATGCCACACAACTTGCCACGATCTCCTAGCATAAGTAGACTTACGAGCGTAGAGATGGCAGCACTTGGTTCTAAGCACGATGAGTGTTACATACCTACAGTGGGCAACATTGAGCTTCAGATGAGGCAAACGCAGAGAGTAGAGGCGATCCTAGAGATCCTAAAAATTGCCTTCAATTCTGTCTTGGGGGGTTGTGGTAGCACTTACCCACAATCCAGCATGCCCTTTTAGCCATCCGGTAACTAGCTTGGTGTTTCTAACAACCAAGAGCAGTCTGGACAAAATTGTGTTTTGGCCGAACTTTCTAGCAGCCCAAGCTTAAAAGAATGTGGTTCGACTCAAGTGAGATTTTTATCACCCATACGTTTCGCATTCACGTTGTCAGGTGAATTGAAAGTGTTAAACACTAGTAGTATGACTAGCGAAGAGACAGAGGCTCAATTACATAGCACAAGAGAGAATTGGAGAGGAAGGGTAAGGTGACCAATCAGCTTTGAGTCAACCAAACTTGTCTTGGATTGGTGGTCAACCGACCTTGACCACAGTTGAATGTAGCCTATCAGGCTATAAGATAACACAACTTCACCATTGCGTAGAAGGCTCGAGTGTAGAGGGGACAAAACCTTGAATCAAGAGGCACTAGAAGGTCTAGGTGGATCTAGGCCAAGTAGGTGGAGAAGGACGTCAGCGGCCTTGGGCAGGACTTTGGTGAAGTTGTCGGTCACATCCTCGGCAGCAAGCGTTCGTACGCCGTAGCGGACGAGTTCGCGAAGCAAAAGTAGCGCAATTCGATTTGCTCAGACTGACCATGGAAGACTGGGTCCTTAAGGAGGTGGAACTTGCTGGCGTTGTTACGCTTGAGTGTGGGGCAGTGCTTGGAAGCACCAAGCTCTGCAAAGTGGTAGCACATCGGAATTCTGCCCTCCTTAGTTTTGGCGTAGAGTTCTGCCTCGCAGAGGAGGGCGTGGAGCGCTAGCTGATGAAGCCGTTGCTCATGGTGAAGCCATAGCCTAGGGAAGAGTGATGCCCAGGAGGAATCAATGAACCCAGCGAGGAGCGGGGAACAAGTGCCTCCAAGATTAAGAACATAGTTCTTGTTGCTGCAGAGGTACACAAGACCCTTTTTGCGGCTGTGTGACAACTGGTGCCAACAAAGCGGTCAAGGACATTGATGGGGCGGATGCACATCATCCTGTACATGAGTGAGCCGATGAGCTCTCCATAAGGACGATCTGAATTGGAAGGAGAGGAGGGAGGGACGAGTTGTAGACCAACCTAGAGACAAAGTGACCGGCTGGCCAGCTTCTCGAGGTAGATGGATTAGGACAAATTGATGGTGCAGCGGGTCGCCCAGTCACAACGAGTGATGGTCATGCGAATGTAGTTCTTTAGGTTACCCAAGTGCAAGCACTTGAGGCGGTTCTATAGCTCCATCTTCACTTGCAGCGGGTAAGCTGCATGTCGGCTGTACGGATCATGTCGTCCAGATAGAGACGCCTGGGGGCGTCGCGGAGGAGGAGGCTGGCATCTGAGTGGGAGGCGCGGAAGCCAATGGCAAGAAGAGTTGTGGCCAGTATGGCATGGCACTCGCGGGGTGACTGATTCAAGTCGTATACTTGGCGACAAAGGTCCGACGCGGTGTCCAAGTGGAAAAGGCGCATGACACCTTTGTGGCCGCCACATGAAGACATTCTCGTGCAGTTTGCCTTGGAGGAAGGTGTTGGAGACATCCATGCTCGTGATCTCCATGCACATGCGGATGGCGAGTCAAGCAGGGCCTGAACGATGGGGAGCTTGGTGCGAACGACGAGCAGGCGAATGCTGGCGGCGAATAGCGAGCACGCGAAGGCGTGCACTGCGGCAAGCGGCGGGCAAGCAAAGGCAGACGGCTGGCGGCGAGAGTTGAGCAGGCGAAGTTAATCAATTGTGTTTCAGGTGGTTAGACAACAACTCTTTGAGTGGGGCCCTTCCAAACTCCTTTGGGGTTCTTTCAAAGCTTACCTCCTTGTATGGAAACATGTTCCATGTCTTGTTGTGTCACATTATTCTTGTTGTTTGCAATCTCGCCTAGGTAGCAGTGTAAGTGGAGTTGTTTAGCTCGTCATTGAGCATGCCTGCAAATTTGTCAGTTTGAAAGTGTGGCCCTTCCATGAGATGGACACACTGCCAACTTGGAAGATTTGTTTCTCATGATTCAGTGTATGTGAATCTTCTTGATTCTCTCGAAGCCCCAGCTGTACGCTACATGGAGTAGTCTGTTTTGCCAGGATTACAGAACATTGTGCAGAATGCATTGGGAACAACTTGCAAACTTGCGAAGGCGAACTTGTTGAGGAGATGCTACAAATCAGACTGGGGGGAGAAAGCTACCATAAAGTGTGCTACATATATTCAAGAGTAATGGTGTATTCAACTTTTCCGCTTCTCTCCTAGCATAAGTAGATGTAAAAGCGTAGAGCTGGCGGCACTTGCTATTAAGCACGATGAGAATTACAGAGCAAGTACAGCAATTTACAGCGCCAGGTGTCGAGAGAAAAGTTTTAGGGAATGCAAGTAGAGAGAGTATATCTAGTGTTGTACTCTATATTATCTGAACCCTAGCAAGGCTACAGTTCATACAACCCAACACATTAAAATATGAAATCTAACACACCCCCTAGCATGGGTAGAGGTAGAGCCTAACAAGAAACAGTCACCTATGGTAGCACTACTAGTCTGGCCTGTGGAGTATGTAACAAAACAAATCGCTTACCTAAGTCTGTGAGCAAGAACGTTAGCCAGCGGAGCTCCTGAACGGCCATAGCCCTAGCGCAGATCTCTGTCTTACAACTAGACTGAGCTACAGATGATGACGTAGGGGACCGCCACGAGACTGCACCCGCACCAAGGCTAAAGCAGTAACCCTGTAAGGACCTGAGTGTCTCCAATTCGTTAGCCCACGACGCGTATGTGTGTCCAGTGAGGACCACTAGCTTTCGACCTCTGAACACAAGCCACAGTCCTCCTGATGTACTCGCTAGATACCGTAACACCCTCTTGGCAGCCGACCAGTGCTATGTTCGGTGTCTGCAATTCGCAACGAAGCGAGCAAGGATACTGAGAGAGTACGCTAGATCTGGACGAGTGTACGTCATCAGGTACATGAGGCACCCACTAGCTCTGCGTATGGACCACTAGACTCGACTGACTCACCAGAAACAGGAGCAGAGAGCTTGTGGTCCACACGCAAAGGGGTTGGCTGTGCTGACGAGAACTGAAAGCCGAACCTCTAGAAGATCTGCTGCACCATATGGGACTCGGAGTAGGCTTGAGCAAAACCGGGTAATTACCCGACCCGACCCGGTTTTGCAATACCCGACCTCGGGTCGGGTATTTTCGGGTCGGGTCCGGGTCGGGTAATATGCCCAGGACCCTTACCCGGACCCGGCCTTAAGGGGACGGGTAATACAATACCCGCCTGGCGGGTCCGGGTATACCCGACCCGGTTACCCTGAAAAGCGGGTAATACTACCCGCCACCTACTAGTGGACATCCTAAGGTTGGGCTAGGCTAGGTAGGGTTTCTGAAAACGCGACTCTCAAATGAGAGACTCGTCAACCCTCACCTCCAAAACCGTTTTGCCGCAAAACCTAAAACACAGCGCGACTTACGCCCATGTCTAGGTGCAATACCCGACCTCGGGTAATTTTTTACCCGACCGGGTCGGGTACCCGTTACCCGACACGTCGGGTAGCATTTCGGGTAGCGGGTATTGAATACCCGCCCGGGTAACCCGGACCCGACCCGCCGGGTAATTTTCAGGATTCCCGATACCCGACCCGCCCTAAAAGCGGATCCGGGTCCCGGGTACCCGACCCGGGCGGGTAGTTTGCTCAAGCCTAACTCGGAGTGTGTCATCGTGCACGCTGCACGGTCACGAGAGATCTCCAAGCCCAGATAGCGCCGTCGTTCTCCTGGGTCTGTAGAAGCGTGTCGCCTGAGCAGCTCGACTTTCACTAAGGCCAGTGCGACTCTGTCTGAAGTAGCAAAGATAAGGTCGTCTACGTACACAAGTATGTACAAAAGATTCTGACCAGCATGAACAAAAAGCGACGGGTCAGCAGAGGACATAAAGGAGTGGAGTGCCACAAGAGTAGTGCAGAGCGTGTCGTGCCATTCATGGGGCTCTTAGTGCAGACTGTAGGCACGGCGGCGTAGTCTCCACCACTGGGTCCCAGGAGTGAAAGAATTTGGTGAAGCCTGGTGATCACCGTAGGAAGATCTGCCCATGTAGGTTGCACTAAAAGAAGGTTATTGAGAACTCCAGAAATTTGAGCTCGCAGTCACACTCTGTGTGGCTATATGGAGGAGCACTCGAAGTGTAGTCATCTTTGGGGTGGGGGAGAAGGTATAGAAGAAGTCTACACCCTCCTGTTGGCTGAAGCCTCTAGCCACATACCGCGTCTTGAACTGCAGCGGTTCACCTTATATATCCATATGCCATCAACTATGTTCGCCTTAGGTGGAGGAAACGCATCGACGTAAGTGCCAATTGATTTATAAGATGTCATCTCTACCTCCATGACCTATATCCACTAAGCTGCCCCGGTAGGTACCCGAGACCCCCTCAGCGGTCGAGCACAGTATAGGGTGGTCCAGAGCGCCCGGGTCACCCTCATGAGACATAAGCATGGTGCAGAGATGAGGTGCAGCAGCTGCAAGGAGAGCTAGCTCGTATTGCCTATCCTCTAGAACGTCATTGCCAATGGCAGGTGCGCACCCGACAGACGGAGGACAAGCAGGGTCAAAGGCCAAAGCGGAAGCATAATCAATGCGGTGGTTCGCGGCAAAGTGACGAGAGTAGCGACGAGAGTAGAGACACCCTCAGGGAGAGGAGTAGGGTCAGAGAGAAGCGACGCAAGCAAGCGAGCAACGAGTAGACGAGCAATGCATTCAGAGTTAGAGGGAGGAGCAGGGGACAACGGGAGTGACGACTGGGGAGGTAACGGTCGGTAGGACGGGGACTGGGGGGAGCACGAGGACGAAGGATCATAGGATGGAAACGAGCACGAAGAGAAATAGGACGACCATTAGGGGGACGACACACCCAATGGGGTAGGGGGGCAACAGGGGACGGGACACGGGACGAAGGTGAACGAGGGAGGAAGCGAGCCATAGACGAGGGAGGGAACAGCGGGCCATAGATGGGGGCAGGTGGGAGAGGAGGCACGGTGCGAGGGACGGGTGGGTGGGTGGTCACGGGAATCGGAGGAAAGGCCAAGGAAACGAAGGGCAGACTGCGGCAGCTGCTGCTGCTGCTCCTGGCCCGCGTCAAAACCCCCAGCTCCACCGCTGCTACTGACATTACTCTCCGAGTGAAAGAAACAATTCTATCCCGGGTGGAAGAACAACCTGTCAGGAGCGTCGAACGGGAGCCCAAGGAAGACACAGAGGACAGTGCGGGCTGAGAGCTTGTCCGCGCCGGAGGGCGGACGTGAGCGAGGCAGCTCCTAGAAAAGTTTGACAGGAAGAAAGGGTCCTTAATGAGGTGGAACTTGCTAGCGTTGTTACGCTAGAGAGTGGGGCAGTGCTTGAAAGCACCAAGGAGGTGCACATTGGAATTCAGCGCCTCCTTGATCTTGGCTTAGAGTTCTGCCTCACGGACGAGCGCGAGGAGTGCTAGTTGATGAAGCCGTTGCTCATGGTGAAGCCATAGCCCAGAGAGGAGGGACTCTGAGGAGGAATCAATGAAGCCAGCGAGGAGTGGGGAACAAGTGCCTCCAAGATTAAGAACATAGTTCTTCTTGTTGCAGAGGTAACGCAAGACCCTCTTCGCGGCAGTGCGTGACGATGTGACGACTGCTGCCAACTAAGCGGGCAAGGAAATTGATGGTGTAAGCGAGGTCGGGGCAGATGCACATCATCGTGTACATGCGCGAGTCGATGAGCTCAGCATAAGGAGGATCCGAATCGGAGGGAGAGGACGAAGGGGCGAGTTATAGACCAACCTAGAGACAATGTGACCGTCGTCGAAGTATGGATTAAGACAAAGTGATGGTACAGTGGGTCGCCCAGTCACGACGAGTGATGGACATGCGAATGTTATTCTTGAGGATACCCAAGTGCAAGCACTTGAGGCGGTTCTATAGCTCCATCTTCACTTGCAGCGGGTAAGCTGTACGTCGGTTGGTTAGGAGCATCACGTCGTCCAGATAGGGACCCCTGGGGGCGTCGCGAAGGAAGTGGCAGGCATCTGAGTGGGAGGCGTGGAAGCCCTTGCCGTGAAGAGTTGTGGCCAGTGTGGCATGGCACTCGAGGGGTGCTTGCTTCAAGCCGTATACTTGGTGTCAAAGTTCCAAGACAGTGTCAAGTGAAAAAGGCGCATGACACCTTTGTGGCCGCCACATGAAGACATTTTCGTGTTGTTCGCCTTGGAGGAAGGTGTTGGAGACATGTCGCAATGTTATAATTGCATTGCAGTTATAAGAAGGCGCAGACTGGGGGTGGGCGGGGTGCAGTGCGCTGGGCCAGAGGCGCTGTAACGTGGACGAGGGTGGCGGTGAGACAGTTGGCAAGACCGCGGATTGCGGAGTGGAGACAGGGCGAAGTGGGGCCAGGGGACGTGGCAGGGGGCACCAGGAGGGCCAGCTGACGGGAAGTGAAGCATACGGGCGTGGAACCATGCTTGTACAGGAATGGGCTTTCATGCGTGGCTTGCTTGTAAATAGTGTGCTTGTTGAGCAGGGAGGTGGGGAATCTGGAAGGCCAGCTGCTCGCTGGCTCTCTTGGCTAGGCTGTGATTCAGATGTACATAGCGGTAGCCGTAGCCTAGGAAAGGTCAGCTCGATTGTTTGTTTCTTGCTTCTCGATAAAAAGTACTTGTTAACCCAAACGAGTGGCGTACGAGCATGAGTGACTGTTGAGTTAGCAAGCACCTAGTTAGTCCGGCTTAGGGGCCCGGCTTGGGGCAGTGGGCTTCTGTGGGCAACTCCCAGGAGCTCACCGGGCAGAGGCAAAGAGTGCAGGAAGAGGGGAGGATGAGAGCGGCAAAGGATTGGTGTGAGAAGGTGAAGGCCAAGCAGAACTAGCTGGTTCTCCGACAGACATCCATGCACGTGATCTCTATGCACATGCGGATGGCGAAGTCAAGCAGGGCCTGAACGATGGGGTGCTTGGTGCGACGACGAGCAGGCTAAAGCTGGCGACGAATAGCGAGTACACGAAAGCGTGCGCTGCGGCGAGCCGCGAGCAAGCAAAGGTGGACGGCTGGCAGAGAGGCAGGCGAAGTTGGAGGCGACAAGTTGACGAGCAGATGATGCCCACACCGTGGAGATGTGGGCGGCAAGTAGTGAGCTGGCGAGCGGCGAGGGGGAGTAGGCGATGGCTTGTAGCCGAAGGGGGCGATCGGCGAGCTGGTGCTGACAACGAGCGGCGAGCCGGCAAAGGTGGGCAGGCAACGGCAAACAGCCAGCAGAGAGCCGGCGAACAGTCAAGCTGGCGATCTGGCCCGGGCAGAAAGCAGGCAGCAGCGCGCAGCGAGAAGACAAACTGGCGGGGAGCGGCGAGAGATGAGCAGACAGCGGCATATTGAGGGCATCGAGCAGGCAGCACACTAGCAGTGCACTGGTGCTGGCGGCATTCTTTGGGTGATGGCAAGAGGCGTGCGGCGAGCGACAAGCAGGCAGCGGTGGGAGGGTAATGGCGCACGGCAAGGGACGAGTGCGTTAGCAGGCAGCCGCGCTTGGCGAGCCATCGAACAACATGCACTGAGCCGGCAGCGGCACGCGGCGGCGGCGAGTGGTGTGCGGACAAGCGGTGAGCGACAACGGCATAAGGAGAGCTAGCGCCAATGAGGATGGGAGGCCGGCTAGGTGAGGCTAGCAACAGCGAGGAGGGGGGGCAAGGGTAGCAGCAAGGGCTAGGCTAGTGGCAGCGAGGAGGATAGGCAGCGGCAAGGACTAGGCTAGCAGCAGCAAGAAGGCTTGGCGTTGGTTAGGACTAGGCTTGCGGCATCGGGAAGGGAGGGCAGCGGCTAGCAGCTACATAGCTGCAGCGAGGAGTGACTGTGGAAGCGTAGGACAGGGTGCCGGGCCGGGAGATGCGGCGGCAACTGGGAAGGGAGGGCTATGATCAAGGGGGGAAAAAGACGATGAGCCTAGAGAGCTCTGTACCACGTTAGACAATGAAAGTATGATTCGCAAGGAGGCAAAGGCTCAACTACAGGGCAAAGCATGAAGCACGTGACAGCTGGAGAAGAAGACTAAGGTGACCAATCAGTTTGGAATCAATTCAACTTGACCTAACGGGTGCCAGTCAACCAAACTTGTCCTGTAATATTGGTCAAGTAGCCTTGTCCGAGAGCGCTGGGTTTGGGAGAAATATGGGGACCGCATTTGGATTGGATAAACCAAATCTGCACCGCAATGTGAATCTAGCCTAGCACGTTATAATCTAACTAACGATTGATCTAACAACCAAGGATTGCAAGACACTTGTTTCACAAATATTGTTTTTACCTTCTTGAACATGTTTCTTGAACCCGTTGGTATGTGATTGAGTCCATTGAGTTGAGATTATTGTCCGGCATTTCTGATCCTCCTTCCCTCCATCTCTCCTTTGGCCGATCATATGCCCTTGCATGGACTATCTTTCATGGGCCATCAGAAATCTAAGTGGGAATCGCTTGAATGGGTCTATTCCATCTGCTCTTGCCAACAGGCGCGAATTAAATTATCTGTGAGTAGAATGGCAGCAGTATTGGGAATTTTGCCTGAAGTTCAAGATGAAGCTATTCAGGGATCAAAATGGCTTGATGTTCTCTCCATAATCAGTTCATTCTGTTTGTCATACTTGCTGCTGAATACCGGACTCGTGACCTGCCTTTTGGGGACGGGGTCAGGCCTGACTCGGGCGAGTCGAGGGCAGGCTCGGCTCGAGTCAAGCTTCATTCGACTCGTTATTCAGGGGGTGGGACTCTAACTCCGCTGGCTGCCGTGCTGCTTCTTTGTCTTTGTCCCTATCGGGCGGTACAAAATTGGCCATATTTAAGCAGACCCTTAGGGTCAAGCCTTGGGATAGAGTTGCGGGACAAGACAAAACTCCCCCCAACCAATTCAAGTTGCGTGGCTCCCTGCGAGGTTCGAATCATGACGCGGTCGAGTCAAATTTGTCTTGCCTGAGGAAAAAAAAAAAACAGGGCGAGTCCCAAGTAGTCGCGAGGGCCGTTTAGAAAAAATCGACTTGTTAAAATGACGAGTTGAGTCAATGAGCCGAGCCAAAACTTGACTCATTTGAACATGCCTACATGTAGGGATGAGCATGAACCCAACCCGACCCGACCCGACCCGACCCGACTTTGCCCTACCCGATGTCGGGTTCGGGTCGGGTCGGGTCGGGTCAAGTCGGGTCAGAGTTCGGGCATGGTCAACCCGACCCGACTTTAGTAGGTCGGGTTATGGGGAACCCGACTTCGGGTCGGGTTGGGTCGGGTTCTAACTGGGCAAAATCGGGTTTTTGGACCCGTCGTTGTTTTACAGGTCTTAACGACGGTCCAGGTTTTTTGTAACAGTTTGGGGACCACCATCCAGGGGTCCCCAAACAGATACACCCTGGATAAGGGGCACATGGTTCTTGTCCTTGTTGAAATACCATTTCTACCTATATATTACACGCATTAGGTGCATGGCACACTGTTGCTTCCACCTTTTCATGCGTATCTTGTGTTTAAGGCTGCCTATTGAGTCCTGGAAACCTAACTTAGGATTAGGGTTGAGCAAACTACCCGCCCGGGTCGGGTACCCGGTACCCGGACCCGCTTTTAGGGCGGGTCGGGTCGGGTATCAGAAATCCAGAAAATTACCCGGCGGGTCGGGTCCGGGTTACCCGGGCCGGGTATCAATACCCGCTACCCGAAATGCTACCCGACGTGTCGGGTAACGGGTACCCGACCCGGTCGGGTAAAATATACCCGAGGTCGGGTATTCCACCTAGACATGGGCGTAAGTGGCGCTGTGTTTTAGGTTTTGCGGCAAAACGGTTTTGGAGGTGAGGGGGGACGAGTGGAGCATTTGTGAGGAGAAGTTGGAGTTTGTAGATGGGGAGGAGTTAAGTGCGGTGAAAGGGAGGGAGTTGGGTGGGAGTTGGAGAAGAGGTTGGAGTTTGTAGATGGGTAGGAGTTCAGTGCGGTGAAAGGGAGGGATTTTTGTTGGAAATGTTGGAGTTTGTAGACAGGGAGGAGTTCAGTGCGGTGAAAGGGAGGGAGTTTGGTTGGAAATTGGAGTTTGTAGATGGGGAGGAGTTCAGTGCGGTGAAAGGGAGGGAGTTGGGTGGTCAAAATTCGACCCCCAGAAAACGCGACTCTCATTTGAGAGTCGCGTTTTCAGGAACCCTACCTAGCCTAGCCCAACTTTAGGATGTCCACTAGTAGGTGGCGGGTAGTATTACCCGCTTTTCAGGGTAACCGGGTCGGGTATACCCGGACCCGCCAGGCGGGTATTGTATTACCCGTCCCCTAAGGCTGGGTCCGGGTAAGGGTCCTGGGCATATTACCCGACCCGGACCCGACCCAAAATTACCCGACCCGAGGTCGGGTATTGCAAAACCGGGTCGGGTCGGGTAATTACCCGGTTTTGCTCAAGCCTACTTAGGATGCCATGTGAATGCGGAAGAGAGCTTGTTAACTAATCAGTCTTGCAGACCGCATAGCTCAATGCTGGGTTCGTAAAGGTTGGACACCAATGCCTAACAAAAACTCTACTGCACAATAAAAGTCTGGGTGGAAGATGCAAGTCACGGGATGCACGGGAATGCACATAAAGGCACAACTCAACCACCGGCCACGACCATCGAACCACTATCCTCCCACTCAACCAAAGGTGTTATCACAGTCCAAAATCCTCACCCTCGATGCACAGCTCCTTTAGTGCCTGCGCAGCTGCCGGCCTCAGGAGCTGCGCGCCCTGGTGCTCTAACATCCATGACTTGGTCATGGATGCACGCACCTGGGCGGCGCTCAACCGGTGGCGTTGCCAGGACACAATGTTCCTCCCCAGACTGAACGCTCTCTCGCTAGCAGCGGATGTGGCTGGGATTGCCAGGTAGTCGCGAGCCATGTGCCATGCCATATGCCATGTCATGTGCCATGCCATGGGCCATGCCATGCCCCATGCCATGTCATGTGCCATGCCATGTGCCATGCCATGTCATGTGTCATGCCATGTGCCATGGCATGTGCCATGCCATGTGCCATGCCATGCCATGCCATGCCCCATGCCTTGTCGCGCTCACCTCAGAACGGGACAGGTAGAGCGTGAGGGCCGTCTTCAGGTCAATCGCACGCCTGAGCATCTCGTAGGTGGAGCCCCAGCGTGTGGGCGTGTCCGTCATGAGTCGCAAGGTCCCCCCCCCAGGGACCTCTGCCACTCTACGCTGGTCCTCCTCAAAGCGCTCAGAACGTGTGATAGACCACCCGACATGCGTAGCCAGGTCTCTGAGACGCTTCAACGTCTCAGCGACTGCCCCCACTCCCAGTGCCCTTTGAATAGCCAGGTTCAAAATGTGCGCAAGGCACCTTGCAGGCCAGGGTGGATGGAGTGTGGGGGGAGGCAAGAGGTGCTGGGCAGGGGGAAAATTGAGGGGACAGTAGTAATCCTATCTTGTTGGTTCTCACTAGACGTGAGGGGCAGCTCTTTGAGCATATGCAAAAACGCTGTTTCAAGTGGCATACCTGAAGTGCATGTCCTTCATCAAGACTGGGTTAGCGGTGCGGGCAGTTGGGTACGTCTTGTCGCCGGACAGGATCTTGAAAGCTTTGACGTTGTTCTCGGCGTTGTCTGTCGTCACGCCAAACACTTCGGACAACAATCCCCATTCGATGAGGACCTTCTCGAACACGTCCGCAATGAGGTCTCCCGTATGCGACCCATGGAGCTGCTTGAATTCGGAAGTCGCCTGCCGCAGCCTGAAGTCCAATGTGATGTATTGGCCCGTGACGGTCATGAAGGCCTGTTTGCTGGGGCTGGTCCAAATGTCAGTCGTGAAGGAAACCTTCCCTGCTGCCCCGTCACCGGCCACCTCTTGCTGCAGCCATTCGCGTGCAGCATTCCCATGCGTCAACATGTCACGTGCCAGTCGAAACCGGCTGCCGAGCATGTTCGCAGCTTGTGGGTTCAGCAGCGAGCAGAACCGCTGGAACTGGAAAAGGGATGGGCGGAGAAAGAGGTGGCAGCTAGGCAGAATGAGGCTTTTGGCAGATTGATATCACGGATGTGACAAATCTACACTCCAATAAAAAATGGAATTTGAAATTCACAAGTAGAATATGCGAGGGCTCACCGATGGACGCTCGACGAGACGATACGCCAGGTCGGCGTCAGCAAACAGCTCGACGAGCGCCTGTCGCAATCGCTGCAAGGATAGTCGAGGCGCCATGAACTTGTGTAAGTTCGGCTGCCCCGCTGCAGCCTCCGCCGGCGCCGGACCCGCAGGAAGGCGCGGCCAGCTGTCAGCATGCGGCCAGGCCTCCCGCTGATGTGGCACGTTCGGATACCCCTTGAGGGGGAAGTCCAAACCCGGCTGCTTCTTGGGGTCTGTGAATAGACGATGCCAGATCTGGAGGTGGGGGTGGTGATAAAGGCGGGCATGCTTCCAAGCGCTGCCAGTGCTGCTGCCTGCCCAGTAAACCGTCTGCTCGCAGCACCTATATGCACGCTTAAGAGGGTTGTCGGTCACGTCGAACATACCCTGCATGAGGCCCGGGATCCTGCCCCAGGTGCCCTCCTCCTCCTCCTCCACCTCCCCCTCTCTACCACGCTTAGGGAGCCCCGCACCAGCCCCCGCAGCCCCCCCCCCAGACCCAGACCGTGCTTTCCCCTTCCCCTTACTGCGCTTGGCCCCTTGCTTGCCCCTTTCTCCACCGCGCGCACCCTGGCCGGCCCTTGTCTCCATGGCCTCTGCTGCCCCCTCCACAACCCCTGCCACTCCAGGCTCCCCGCTGTCCTCCCCCCCACCAGCAGGAGCGCGTGCGTCCATGGCCCCTAGGTCAGCACCCGCCCCTTTTCCACGCCCCCCTCCACCACCCTTCCCGCTCTTCCTCCCACTCCCCTTTTTTCCGGGGCGTGGGCCATCGTCCCCGGACTAGCATGCCTCCATCTCCTCCTCTCCCGGGCCATAATCCGGGTCATTGTCACGCTGTCCCCCCTTCCCCCCTGCTGCGGGTTCCGGAATCCGGTTCCTTTCCCACCCCTCGTCGTCCATGCTGAAATCCCGGTGCCATGTGCCATCCCACTCGTTGTCGGCGTTGATGGAGCCAAGGGCGAAGCTCTGTGGCGCGCCGGCGACGGGCACGAGGGCAAGGGACATCCCGGGCAGCGCCGAACTGTCAACGCTGGTCTGCGCCGACGCCGCGTGTGGGCCGTGCGGCCTAAACCCCCCATCCCCACCATTGCTTCTGCCTTGATTGCCACCACTGTCCTCGCCTTCCATTCGCCGCCGTGTAGGCCACTGACACCTACAATCTAGGCCCTCCCCTAGTTCTGGTGCTTTAGAGACCTATGGAATGGAAAACCTAGATATATAAGATGGCCCTAGATTCCACAGACCAATGCCCCCAATTCTGGAAAGTGCGTGGCAAATGCCACAAATGCACTAGCCACGTTGTTGGAAACCTTCCTTCAGAAATGCTGCCTGTTTCCTCAACAAATCCGAGATGATTAGGGCTGATGTCCTTTCAGTATGACTAAGAAAGAGGAGGAACAGCTGCTGCCTAACATTCAACCGTTAGAACTCCCTTGTTGCTAGGTAGGAGTATGGGAAAGTCGAGGTCGAAATAGGAAACTGTTCTTTCAGTTTGAAATTTCGACCCTAAAAGTCAATTTTTTTAGATCTGCGCGCAGATCGCGCAGATCGCGTCGGGTCGACGCGCGACCCGATTTCGGGTGGGGTCGGGTCGGGTCAACCCGACGGGTCGGGTTCGCCCGACAGGGAAACCGACCCGACCCGTCAAATACTCGGGTTCGGGTCGGGTTACCCGACCCGACCCGACCCTTTGCTCATGCCTACCTACATGCATACCTAAGTCGGGGCCTGATTCTTTCTAGGATGCTGTAATTGTAAAACAAACGTGACATTTATGATTTCGTTTATGAACGCTAACTAACGCGTTAATCCATGCCGGGCAACTGGAAAAAAAAAAAAAAGGAAAATAAAAGCAAACATAAAAAATAAGCGAGTCGTCCTTGTGCCTCTCTGAAAGTACGGCAAGTAAATCAGTGGTAGAGAGATATGTTTGCTGGGGCAATCCAGTTGTGAAGGGGAGGGAGGGCGTAAGGGGGGTTTTGGGGGGAGGTTGCTGTGCGGTATGCAGGAATCCGTGTACTCCAACCAGGAGAACTCCGCGTTGGGGATTCCACGCTCGTTGAAATTTCGCCATGGCTAAATTCCCTCAGTTTTTTTTTTTTGGCAGCCCAGATTTTTTCCAGACCTGTAAACGTTAGTCCAAAATAGAGCAATCGTACAAAAACCTACTTAAACGTTTGAAAACGTAAAGCACCATGTCAGATCCAACTTAGATGCATACATGATACATGTATGTGTATATGCAGACATGCACACATGCACGGGTTTGTAATGATGGCAAGTAAGGAGGAATACTGACGAGCTTTGTGTGCTAATTGCAACTGTCTTCTGTCAGGTATCTTAGCAACAACATGCTGATCGGTTCCATTCCTGAATTTGCCGTTGGTTCTGCTGCTCTTATACACATGTAAGTCTCGAATGCACTCATGCACAATTTGTGCACGTGCAAATGGAAACATGAGAGGTGCATCTGTTGGCATTATCGATGCTTTCAACAGATTCTTGAACTGTTTGCAATTTGCACCTTGATTGCAGGCTTGAAAATTGATCAGCCATTATTAGATTTTATGCCACGTTCACAGGCCAAAGCTACATGTTGAGTATCACTGTTGTTCTTGCATGTGCTGCTCCCGTTCGTCAGGGTGTTGAGTGGGAATCAACTGAGCGGGCCCATCCCAACGTCTATCTACCACTGCACAAATCTGCAGCGTTTGTGAGTTCCCAAATTGCTCACTCTACATACAGCCCCTTGCTGTACCATGGATTGGCGGCAGGTTTTGGAGATAATGGTACCCCACCACTGCCCATGGTTTTGGTTTTGGTTCTTCTGCTGCCCTTGCCACGGTGCCACCACTTTTTATCGCACTACTTAAGCCAGAATTGAGCAATCTTTCGCCACATTTCTCTCGTCTTCTCTTGTACAAATTCTGTTCACTGTGCGGTTTTCATACAAATGTTATCATTAAGCTCAGAAATCAATCGTGTTTCAGGTGGTTGGACAACAACTCTTTGAGTGGGGCCCTTCCAAACTCCTTTGGGGTTCTTTCAAAGCTTACCTCCTTGTATGGAAACATGTTCCATGTCTTGTTGTGTCACATTATTCTTGTTGTTTGCAATCTCGCCTAGGTAGCAGTGTAAGTGGAGTCGTTCAGCTCGTCATTGAGCATGCCCGCAATCCTGTCAGTTTGAAAGTGTGGCCCTTCCATGAGATGGACACACTGCCAACTTGGAAGATTTGTTTCTCATGATTCAGTGTATGTGAATCTTCTTGATTCTCTCGAAGCCCCAGCTGTACGCTGTTTTGCCAGGATTACGGAACATTGAGCAGAATGCATTGGGAACAACTTGCAAACTTGCTAAGGCGAACTTGTTGAGGAGATGCTACAAATCAGACTGGGGGGAGAAAGCTACCAGAAATTCTGTTACATGTATTCAGAAGTAATGGTGTATTAAGGCTTTGTGCTTCTTTTTGACACTGCAGCATCATCACCGGCACAAACCTCACGTGCCCACCTGACTACACCGCCTGTGGCCCGACACAGTCGCCTAAGACAGTCTTCTGCCGGACGTGCCCTTCCTTCTGCAGCACTTGCGGCAAACGAGCACCAGGCGAGCAATAGAACAGATTGCATCAGAACGGATTCTTGTTGGTCAAGGCACTTTATTGGACGAGGCACGATGCATCCTCTTTCTTGTAGCACTTGCCGCAGAGTACCAAATGGATGCAACGGACAGCAAATGTGTCCGGTTTGACGCACAGCTCCACTGCAGCATCTTCAAACTTGTGGCTGCAACTAACTTGCAATTATTCCTATTTTTCCATGCTCATGCAGAACCAACCCCTAACACCAGCAGCAGCAGCACCAGTAGCAGCGAGTCTTCAGCAGCAGCCGGGGGAGGAGGTGTATCAGTGGGAGCCATCATTGGCATCGCTGTTGCTGCTGTGGTCATTCTCCTGCTTCTGGTTGCCGCACTGGTCTACTTCAGGCTCAGGATGCAGCGGAAGCCGAAAAGTAGGAAGGACAATGGAGCAGTCACGACAGGGTAGCAAATTCTTTGTTTTTGCAGTTCTTTTCAGCATAGCAACATGCCAGGTAGGCTTGAGCAAAATACCCGCACGGGTCGGGTACCCGGACCCGGATCCGCTTTTTGGACGGGTCGGGTATCCAGATTCCGGAATATTACCCAATGGGTCGGGTCCGGGTTACCCGGGCGGGTATTCGATACCCGTTACCCGAAACGTTACCCGTCAGGTCGGATAGTTTTTTCGGTGATTTTGCAAAAAAAAACAAACAAACAAAAAACAAAAACAAAAAAAACCGAATTTTTAATAGGACACTCGGATTTGTTTATTTTTTATCTTTTACATTTCGTAGAAAGCCTTAACATCTGCCCAGATCCGCGCATTCTGTCCATCGAAACGCGAGACACGCACATTTTCACAAGGAGATGCCAGATCCGCACATTTTAGTGGGTGAAATGTCTGATCTGTGCATTTTGTCCACCAAAACGCGGGATCCAACACATTTTGGCAGGAAAAATGCCAGATCCGCGTATATCAGCTGGCGAAATGCCAGATCCGCGCATTTTGCCAGTATTTTTTACTCTTTTTTTTTAGCTTTCGCCCGATTTTTTTTACCAATATCTAAAAAAATATCAAATATCTTCAACCGTTTTATACCGAATAAAACGGCCAAGAAATACGATACCATAGAAAACGGCTTGAAAAAAAAAAAAAAAAAAAAAATCTGTTTTTTTTTACCCTGAAAATACCCGACCTGAGGTCGGGTATTGCAAAAACGGGTCAGGTCGGGTAATTACCCGGTTTTGCTCAACCCTAATTCCAGGAGCATGTTTTTTCTGTGAATGTGCCTCCCTTCACCCCTCACCCCTCTAGCAGGCCTGGCTGGCAGCCTAGCAGCCTCCCACTGCACGGAGTTCTCTCTGGCTGAGGTCCTCAAGGCCACCAATAACTGGTCGGAGGACAACCAGCTTGGCTCGGGTGCCTTTGGTGATGTCTACAAGGGCGTGTCTCCCCGCGATGGCACCACAGTGTGGGCTGTGAAGCGAGCCAAGCTGATCGACGTGGACTTCCAGAGGGAGGTCAGTGAGCTGCACCTGATGTTCTGGGTGGTATGAAGCTGATCCACGTGGACTTCCACAGGGAGGTGAGCCGTGTTTCAGGAGATGGCTTACTGGAGACGCTATAGACGTGGACTTCCAGAGGGAGGTCAGTGAGCCATGTTAAGGAGAGTGGCTGGAATGCAGGACATGTTCCGATGGTGCCTTTTGCCTTCCACCATCTGAACGATTGTGTTGTGATATTAAGGTTTCGCTTTCTGTGTCCAAGGTCTTATCCTTTTAGATACAATTTTGAAAACTGGCTTTTGTCCTTCGTATTGTGTTCCCTTCTTTCTTCCTTCCTTGCTTCTCTCTATTTTGTCTGCTTCTCCATATGTTCCTCCTTTGCTGCCTCTCACACTGTTCTTTCTTTCTTGCGCATCTCTCACCCTTTGAATGTAATCACCAGATCCAGCAGATGGCCGACAAGAACCATCCCAACATTGTGAGGCTTCTGGGATTTGCGATCGGAGGCGACTTGAGGACACGACCAGAGCAAGTCCTGATCTACGAATATGTGCCCAACGGTGACCTCCAGAAATGGACTGGTCCGGGTATGTGCTCATTTTCTCCAATTGGCTTTGCGTTGTGCCACTCAGACTAGGCACTCAAGCTATGCACTCAAGCTAGGCACTCAAGCTAGGCACTCAAGCTAGGCACTCAAGCTAGGCACTCATACGTGGGCTTTATACTGTGCCATGCTGTGGCTCCTTGCAGACGCTGCTTCTCCTTTGAACCTGAAGCAGCGGCTGGACGTCCTCATTGGCCTTGCACGTGGTTTTGAGTATCTCCACAGCTTTGGCATGGTGCACCGCGACATCAAACCTGCAAACGTCCTCATCACTGCTGACATGCAGGCAAGCTCAATTGCACGAAGACACTGCATCCTCGTATACCTTAGTTGGTTCGTTTGGAGGAGTCCATGTAGAAGTGGAACCAGGGCAGTGGGTAACATATTGAATCACTGAAGCGGCCTTCCCAAGGAAAGCGTGCAACTCGGGCGTTGTTGTGGGGAGGCGACGTAGTTTCAAGTCCACATTCTAGTCTGAATAAGGTGTTGGTACACCACCTTGGTTGGGGTTTTTCTCAATCCTATTGGCTGTCTTGCTCTTTCACACCCTTTCTTGACCATTGCGTAGGATGTCTTTTTCTCTGGCCCTATCTACCTGGACCCACAAGCCTTTTTGCATTAGATTCACCTTTTTGTTGTATTATAAAACCTGTAACACTCACCAGCCCAAGATTGCAGACTTTGGGCTTGTGAGGGCGGGAGAGGGCACCACAGTGGGCACTACTCGAATCATGGGAACACGGGGCTATGTGGATCCAGTTTACTCCAGGACGTCCAAGGCAACCGCAGCAAGTGATGTCTACAGGTGAGCTTAGAGATGGTGTGGCATACTATTTGAATGACTCTGGTAGGCGCCTACGGACGATTTATGATTATCTTGAAGGCACTAGACACTGTGTCTAAGTGGAGAAATACGCTTGGGCAGCCTAGCGTATTGCGTACATACGCTAGCGTATAATACGAATACGCTGTACGCTAGCTATGTACGCAATACGCTAGCGTATTTCTTGGCGGGCAGCCCGGCAAGAAATACGCAAAAACGATGCGACAAATTTGCGACATGACGAAACCCCACAGGGATTTCGCCATGTCGCAAACCGAAATTTGGCTTTTCAAATCGTCAACCCAACCCCTTCGCCCCTCCCAACCACACAGCATCCCACCCAATCTGCGACTTCCAAACAACACCCAAAGAAATCTCCTTCCTCTCCCTCTCTACTCTACTCCAGCAGGGTTCAGCGCAGTTCACTCCTACGACGAAATCAGGGTACAAGTAAACTGGCGCGCTAACTTCAGTCATTTCTTCTTCCAAGCTAGCGCGACTAGCTAGCTGGTTTATTAGCGACTGTTGCTATGTCGAACCCTCCACCTAGTCCTGGTTCCCACGGACCCGACGCGGGAACCTCCTGTGCTGCGTCTTCCTCTGACGAGCTCCTGGAGAACTCCACCCACGCTATCTTTAAGCATTTCAAGTTTAAGCATAAGAAGCATGGCAAGCAGCAAAAGTATTGGTGCAAGTACTGCCCCGTATCCTTTACCGGGACGGCCTACCGCTGCGCACAGCACATCACTAGTTGGGATGGTATGCGTAGGCGCGAGGTTTGGAAATGCGAGGAGGTAGGGAAGGAGGAGCAGGCTGCCGTTCGCGCGTTCCAAACCGCCAAAGTGCTCGCGAGGGAGGAGGCGCATAGGGCGGAGGAGTCGGCCCTCGACGCCGTTAGTGGTCGGGGAAAGCGGAAGATCACCGATTACCTGTCCGATGACGCCCAAGCGGCCAAGGCGGCGGCGGACGAGGCTATTTGCCTCCTCTTTGCCGGCCTCCGCCTTCCCGAGCGCCATGCCGACCACCCGCTTTGGCGCAACGCCGTCCGGGGACCAGCTATGTGCCTCCAAAGCGCGACTACGTGGGTGGTGCCGGCTTGCAGCTATGCCGCAAGCGGATTGACGAGGGATTGACGGGCGTCATGTCGAGCTGGAAGCGCCACGGCGTGACGATTGCCAGCGACATGATGACCGACAAGTGTGGCAGGCCGCAGGCGAATGTGATGCTGGTCAATGACACCGGCGCAGTGTTCGTCGAGAGTATTGACTGCAAGATGGAGAAAAAGACCGGGGGATACATCGCCCGGCTGCTCCGGCCCATCCTGCAAAAGGTTGGGGTCGAGAACATCGTGGCATTCTGCACCGATGGCGGCAGCAACTACCACAGCGCCTGCCGGCTCCTCATTGCAGAGAATCCGCGCATCGAGCATGTGCCGTGTGCGACGCACGTGCTCGACCTCCTTATGGAGGATGTGGGACGGCAGGCTTGGGCCAAGGAGGTAGTGGGGCGGGCGAGCGAGCTCATCAACTACACCCGCAGCCACCATTGGACCCGAAAGTATCTCAGGGGTGTGGACGGAGGGAAGGGGCTGCAGATGCTGAGGCCGGCGGGGACCAGGTTTGGGACGCAGCACATTGCTGTGTCCCGCCTGGTGGAGTTGCGGTCAACGCTGGTGACCATGGTGCTCTGCGATGCATGGAAGGCGGAGTGGGCGGTGGGCCCAAAGAAGGCAGCTGCAGAGACATTCCACGACCAGATCATGGATAAGGACTGGTGGCCAGCGGCTGAGCTCTTCAAGAGGCTGCTCCTGCTCCCGTTCAAGGCCATGAGGGCGACGGATTCGGCAACGAAAGGGATGATGGGCCGCATCTATGAGCTGATGCTTGAGCTCACTGTGAATGTGGCAGAACTGCTGAAGGAGGAGGGGGATGGGGTGCTGAGTGCGGGAGACAAGAAGGGCGTCAATGAGATTGTGAAGCGGCGTTGGGATGAGAGTATGGCTTGCCCACTGCACGTGGTCGGGCGGATTCTTAACCCGGTCAACCAGGAGGAGCGGATTTTTGGGCCGGACACGGAGTGCACCAATGTGTTCAAAGCTTTCATTGCCCGCCACTATGGCGGGGTGATGATTCCCCAGAGGGATGGCCTGCCCAAGCGTGCCACACTCCTCCTGCAGGAAGGGTTGGCCGCCTTTCTGAAGTTGAGGGGCAGCTTCGGCACGGCTGAGGCCATCAGTGACCGGAAGTTGGTGAAGGAAGGAAGTTATTCCATGGAGGCGTGGTGGGAGTGGCACGGCACTGACCACCCCTTGCTCATGGCCCTTGCTTGCCGAGTGCTAACTCAGCCGGTGTCTGCATCCAGCTGCGAGCGCAACTGGGCGGTGTGGGATACTGTCCACACCGCCCGACGCAACCGGCTGGGTTCAGAAAAGTGCAAGGATCTGGTTTACGTTGCGCACAACTGGAAGGTTGTGCACAACTGGCACATGGCCGACGAGGGGGTGGGGGTGGTGTCTGGTAACATCCCGGACGCCCCCGTCCCTGCGGGGTACAGGGTGGATCGGGAGGAGGAGGATGAGGAGGGCGAAGATGAGGAGCTGCTGGACGAGTACCTGTAGAGCAGAGCAGGAGAGGGTTAGGCGGGCGGTTTGGGGGAGGCTTACCTGAGATGGGTGGTTGGCTGGTTGTTGGAGTTTGGAACCCTTGACATGCCCTTGGTGGCTTGAACTATTTATTTATTACCATGCTAAATGATGCCACATTTGGTGGGGGGAATTTGGTGCTCTGAACCCCCCCTCTTCCCTCCCCAAACAGGTTTTTTTTACCCCTGCCCGAGTTGTTTTTATACCTGCCCGCCAGAGCGTATTTCCTAGCGTATCCAATCCCATAATGAAGCGTACAGCGTATATACGCTAGCGTATAATACGCTTGCGTATAATACGCTGGACGCGTATTTCTCCACTTAGCACTGTGTTTGTATTGGCCTGTGCAGTCAGTAGTGGTTGACTTGACTGACACTGCTTATCCATTCTTGTTTCCGCCAACGTCTCTTTCTCTTTGCAGCTTCGGTGTGCTCATGCTTGTGGTCCTCACGGGACAGGCTCCACTCACTGAGTCAGCTGGAGGAACCAGGAAGATCACTCTGTGGGTAAGTACCACGGCCAGCTCATTGTTTTTTTTCCATGATTGTGTTCCCGCAATTAAAGTAAATGAAACTGATTTATTCCTTCCTTGGTTGCGTTCGGATCATCACCCCTCTTGTGCCTTTTCTTCTATTCGCCTGTACTCTCAGGCATCGGAGTGCGTGTCCTCGGGCGACATGCGGAGCCTCAGGGACCCCAAAATGGACGCCCCTGGAGAAGCTGAGCTGCGCTTGGCTGAGCTAGCGATCAGCTGCACCGTGGAGCTCACTGCAAGCCGCCCAAGCATGGCTCACATTGCCAACGAGCTGCAGGCCATCCGGGAGGAGGTGGTGGGGAAGGACGAGCTGAGCGCTGCCGTCAAGGTGGATGCCCAGGTGCAGCAGATGAAGAACGCAGAAATTGAGGTGACCAGTCAGGCTCACCTCTTGTTAGACACATGCCACTGACCAGTTGCATGTTTGAATCTGGCTCATTTCTGTGCGAGTCGAGTCTGGCTGGGCATTTGTTTGACGGCAAATGTGTCTGGGCATTTATGTGGAGTGTGGAGGGATTCTGTTGCATTGTGTGGTATCTGGGATCTTGGAGTGACCTCAGTGTTCAAGCAGTCAGCGCCATTTAGGATTATCAGTGAGGGCCAAGTTAGAACTATGGCTGTCTCTAGAATGCATGCTCTTCATTTATCAGGAGTTTGTATTTCATTTCATGTGTCAAACTTGGCTACTGTATTACATTCTCAACAGTGCTCTGTGTCAAACATATATTGTATGTTGTTGTAGACTATATAGGGTTGTGCCTTAGGGAGTACAACCCATCAGGTTATAGTCCCTTGTATGTCTTACTCTAGTTATTTTTTCACTTGAACATGGTTTCATGAGCAGGTACGTCTCCCCCCCCCCTAGCGCTTCCGCCCTAGGTCCTAGCCGCCTCGTCGCCCCGCAGCCCCGTCCCCTAGCGGCCCCGCGACCCCGTCACCTAGCGGCCTCGCGGCACCGTCCCCTCGCGGCCCCGTCACCTAGCAGCCCCACGGCCCCATCACCTTGCAGCCCCAGCGGCCCCGTCACCTCGCGGCCCCGCCTCCCAGCTGGCCCCGCCTCCTAGCCGGCCTCGTCACCCAGCCGGCCCCGCCTCTTAGCCGACCCCGTCGCCTAGCAGGCCCCGTCGCCCGACCCGCCCCGTCCCCTTGCTGGCCCCCTCGCCTAGCTGGCCCCCTCGCCTAGCCGGCCTCGTCGCCTTGCCGCCCGCAACCCCGCCTTCTAGACGCCTCGCCACCGTCCTCCGCCCCTCTGCACCGTGCTGCACTACCTGGCACCACTCTACACCGCACTGCACCGCTCTGCACCGCACTGCACCGCACGGCACCGCTCTGCACCGCACTACATCGCATTGCACCGCCCTGCACTGCACTGCACCGCGCTGCACCGTACTGCACCTCCCTCCACCGCACAGTACCGCACTACACCGTACATCACCGCTTTCCGCTGCGCTCTACTGCCCAGCACCGTCTTGTCCCAGGCCTCCCTGAGTCGTTCCCTGCGCTCCCCTCCTCACCTGCGCCCTCCGTGCACGCCTTGCGTCGAGGGCCAGCTCCGCCATGCCCCTCATTCCTCCTCGTCCCCCCCACCTCTGCACCGCTGCAGACCCTGCACATGGACATCTGGGGCCCTGCCCCCGTCCATGGGCCACGTCACGAGCGCTACTTCCTAGTGCTTGTCGACAACTACACCCGCTACACCACCGTCTTTCCCCTGGAGCGGAAGGCCGACATGCCTGCCGTTCTTCTCCCGTGGCTTGTCTAAAATACTCGGGTTTCGGAGCCTCACATCAGAGTCCACAGGGGCCTAAGTCGGATTGCGTATGCCAGATGCTAGCTTTACCGGCACTAGCGGAGAGAGGGCCGCGTGTCCGAGCTGGGGGAAAGGACAAGAGGCAGTTCGATCCATTTTGTGTTACTGGGGGATTCTTCTTAGTGATGAGCCCAACCTGTATTGAACACATGGGACCTTTTTCGAAATCTGATGTGGCCCTGGTTGGCGCCCCGACATCTAAAATATTCAGTTTTCCTGTAAAAAACTTCGCAAGGGCATGATATCAAAGTTCACAAAAATTTGAAAGGTAGGATACAAGGGAATATAACCTAGTGGGTTGTACCGTAATCCCTCGGCTATTGGACCCTATGGTCTTCTTAGAATTACAGGAAAAAGTGTCAAGGTGGACATTAAAGTGGATGGAAATTATTAGGACCCATGTTCACATATTTTACACTTACGTGTCTATTGTGCTGGATGTACAACCTTTTTACATAGGGAGTTATATTTGTACCGCGGAAACAGAATCCTCTTGTCGTCATCTTTTCGTACCACCAGAATGACACGCGTCAAATTTCGTGTGTTGGCGTGGCGCGATGGCATCTTGACTGCCGTCACCCACGCTGCAAGAGCGTGTTCCTGCAGCCTCTTTCCATCCAACCTCTTCCCAGACTTGCTCGCTACAGTGTTACGTAATTGTGACGCGAAGCAGTTTAGTGCGGTTTCGAGTGGTGTGACGCACGGTTGGGATTATCAAGATTCAAGGTATGTTTCCAAACCTGATTTCAGGCGCGTATTTTTCAGACGGACGCAAATCTGTACAGTGCGAGTTTGACGCGAGCTGATTCATTGCGATTGAGAACGCGATTCTGAAACGAATTGGATTGAAAAAACGTTCCTTCGAGCACGCTCTTAGTCGAGGGCCGACTATGGGGAAGAGGCTCGTAAGAACACGCAGCACCAACCTGCTGCCAACACCAACCGTACAGTAAAAGCATCAGCAGCAGTTTCTATTCTTACAGTGCAAAATCCTACACGAAAACACAGCTGGGGGGTCCTAAAATGTTAAATGCCAAAAAGCGGGTCCTCACGGGGTCTGGCGCACCAAGTGTGACTGTGAGAGAGTGATGGTGCGCGCTGCTCTGTCCCTGGAGATCTGCAGGCCAAGGTAGTGGCGCAGCTCTCCTAGGTCAGAGCAGGTGTGTCTCCTCAGCAGCTCGGCCTTTACGGAGGCCAGCGTGTCTCTGTCTGCAGTAGGAAAGACCAGGTCGTCTACTTAGACAAGGATGTAGAGCGGAGTCTGGCAAGAACGAACAAAGAGCAAGGGGTCTGCAGACGACGGGAAAAACTGCAGGTCAGCAAGTGTAGCACGCAGCGTATTGTGCCACTCACGAGGAGCCTATCGCAAGCCGTAGACGGGGTGCCGGAGGAGCCACTTGGTACCAGGGGGAAAGGTACTGGAGAAGCCCTGGGGGCAGTGCAGGTAGACCTGCTCGTATAGACTGCCCTGGAGGAAAGCTGTAGAGAAGTCGAGGGAGTGGAGCTCGTAGTCACACTGTGCTGCTACGTGTAGCAGAGCCCGAAGAGTAGTCATCTTCGGGGTCGGGGCGAAGGTCTGAAAGAAGTCCACCCCCTCATGCTGACTGAAGCCTCGAGCAACGTAGCGTGCCTTGAAGACAGGCGGCTCTCCAAGAGGGCGCTTCACCTTGAAGAGCCATCGGCCATCGACTACGTTCACCCCAAGTGGGGGAACTGCGTCAACGAAGGTACCGGTGGATCTCCAAGATGCCATCTCCTGCTTTATGGTAGCTATCCACTGAGAGGCCCAAGGTCCCGAGGTGGCCTCAGCGTAGGTGCAAGGGGTCAGGATGTCAAGGGCGTCTGGGTCACCCTCAGGGACTAGTAGCATGGAACAGAGATGGGGAGTGGCCGCAGACAGGAAAGCGAGCTCGTACTGCCTGTCCTCTAGGACGTCACTGCCAAGGGCAGCCACACCCTCGACGGCCGAAGGGCAGGCAGGGTCAGAGACCAGAGCGGTGGCGTAGTCAAGGTGGCGGGTAGCGGCGAAGTCAGTGACAGCAGCGACAAGAGCCGACAGACTCGAGACAGGAACTGACGGGTCGGTAACAAGAGAGGCAAGGACACAAGGAACAAGGGGACGTGCGGCACAAAGGAAGTCAGAGAACGGAGGTGGGGCCACATAAAGTGACGACGGGGGAGGAGACGGGAGGAACGGAGGAGCACGAGACGCGTGGGAGCGAAGCAACATCGGGTGAGACCGCGGAACAGGGCAGGTAGGAGGAGAACGAGACGGACGACCAGACCAGACGTGAGACGGAGAAGTCGGGTGAGGAGGGAGGGGGGGAGACACAGGAGGAGAACGGGGAGGGAAATGAGCCGGAGAGGAGTCCGGTAGAGGAAACACCCGGGCATAGACCGGTGGAGGAGGAGGCGGCGGCAACGGAGGAGGCACCGGCAGGCGGTCAGGGGAAGGAAGACTGAGGAGGCGAAGAGCGGACACCGGCGGCGACTGCTGTGGCTGCTCTATGACTCCAACACCAGAACCTCCAGCGACAACACGGCTCCCTCCAAAAAGCTCCACGCCAACACCCCCTGAATGGGAACGTGCTCCAGGACCCGCTGCAACACGCTCCCAAGCACCCCCAGATCGCACGAACCCCAGCGGCAGTGACGACGGCTACTGCGGCCGTGGCGGCGACAGCGGCGGCGGAGGCGGCTGCGGCGGTGACAGAAATGGCGGCGACGGGGAAGGAGAGACCGGGGCGGGGGGAGGTGGATGGAGGGACTCTGCAGAGCCGCAAGAGTCGGCATACTCCTCAGCAGGGACACCCGACGGGAGAGGGGTGACGTGAGACACACCTGATTGGGCAGGGAGGGGAGGGGGGGGAGCCGGGGCGACCGGGGGAGGGGGAACCAGGAACAGGGGGGGGGAATTGGGGGACCACGGTGGGGAAAGCGGTGGTAAAAAGAGACTGACTCGTGAAAGGTGACATCACGGGAGTGAAAGAAGCGGTGAGACAGCGGATGGTAGAAGTGCCAGTCGGACGAGTCGAGGGGGAAACCTAGGAAGACACAGGGGACGGTACGGGCAGTGAGCTTGTTCATGCCAGAGGCACGAACGTGAGCAAGGCAGCCCCAGCGTGGAACGCAGACGCGTCACCAGGGGACCCGATGCAGAGGAGGGTCGGCGAAACCTGCGGTCGCTGAGGGTGCGGCCACAGGCTAAGCTGGTGAGTAGCATAGCGAACGGCAAATGGCCACAGAAAATGGGGTGCACCGGCATGGACCATGGAGGTACGAGTCACCTCCATGACCAAACCGATGCATTGCTCAGCGATCCCATTCTGCTGCAGGGAGTCCGGCAGAGTGAACGACTGGGTGATGCCCTCCGCACGACAGAAACGACCAAGGTAACCAGGGGCAAACTCGCCACCGCGGTCAGCATGAAGACACAACACAAGGAGACCTCGGTGCACACGCGCAAAGGCAATCCACGGGATAAGAACGGCAGGCACGTTAGCCTTCCACTCCAGGGGAAACACAGTGGTGTAGCGCGTGTAGTCATCGACAAGCACTAGGAAGTAGCGCTCGCGACGCGGCCCATGGACAGGGGCGGGGCTCCAGACGTTTATGTGCAGGGTCTGCAGCGGTGGGGCGGTGGGGGGGAACGAGGAGGAGTGAGGGGCACGGCGGAGCCAGCCCTCGACGCAGGGCGTGCACGGCGGCGCTGGTGAGGAGGGGAGCGCAGGGAACGACTCAGGGAGACCTAAGACAAGACCGTGCTGGGACATGTGACGGAGACGGGTGGGAGCGGGGTGACCTAGACGGTGGTGCCACAGAAGCGACGGGTGAGTAAGGGACCGACACAAGCAAGCCGCAGCAACCTGGGAAGATGCTGCCAC